CTCCTCTCCTCCTGCTCCTCCTCCTCCTCCTCCTCCTCCCTTTCCTCCTCCTCCTCCTCCTCCTCCTTCTCCTCCTCCTCCTCCTGCTCCTCCTAAGCCTCCTCTTCCTCCTCTTCACTCATCCTTCTCCTCCCTTTCCTCCTCCTCCTCCTCCTCCTCCGCCTCCTCCTTATTCCCCCCTCCAACTTATGGTGGTGGTGGAAGACAGGCCCATCACCCCTACGGCGTGCCCAACCCAGAAGGTGCATGACTGCGTCTCGTGCGGAGAAGGCGTCGTAGACGCCTGCCGCCACCAAGGTAACTGCTCGGACTGCGTATTCGGAACCACGGTGACCCTCAACGCGGAGCTGGACAACCTCACAGCCGCGAGGAGAGAAGTCCACATCATGAAAGAAACCAGGCCCCGGTGCGGAACCTCAAGAGGGGCTCGAAGCCGCTGCTCATTGCCAAGAAGCGACGAGCCCTCATCACCAGCAAGAGCGGCATCCAGCCGCATCCGGTCGACCAGGCACTACGGGCCGATCTGGCCAGGACAACGACATCACCCAGTACGTTTGCAGGCACCAAATCCGCCCTGCTCTGCGAGTGGTGCTGCAACCCCAGCAACGAGCTCAGCGCAATGTGGCAGAACAAGGGAGGAAATGCTGTCCAGTGCAGACTTCCAAAATACGACCTCCCGAAGCGCTGAATCGCCCTGCACACCCGCTCATGGAGCTCTCCGAGCGGGGCGCGGCCCGCGAGACACCCGGGGAAGCGAGGAGGACGCAGAAGGGGAGGGGGAGGAGGAGGAGGAGGAGGAGGAGGAGGAGGAGGAGGAGGAGGAGGAGGAGGAGGAGGAGGAGGACGGATGACCCTCCTGCGCCAAGGGAAGAGCGTGAAGGACCCACGTTGCCTTCCCGTGCCTGCCGTGGGCATCACTGCGGCGGTTGCGTATCCACGCTGACCCCAGGCGAAAGCCTTGGCTCGCTGAGGAAAGGCGCAGGTCGGAGTTCATGGTGTGCCGATGCCTCCACGCCCCGGCCGACCGTGCAGAATAGTTCGGATCCCAGCTGGCGATAGCTTTCTAGTGGCCACGACACTGCGACGGCGGGGGCCTTGACAGGAACGCCACGGCGGAGCGATTGATCGAGCAGTTGCCGCGCACGATCGACTCTGACGGCTGCGCCTTCGGCCTGAAGACAAGAGAGGGGCATGCCGATCAAGAAGACGTGGCGAATCATTACAGATCAGTTCGGGTTCGACGACTCACTCAGAAGAGTCTGCGACGGCAGCCACAAGCATGCCGAAGCCCGCGGACGCGATGTCAAGAGCAGCGAGAACTACACGTCCGAGATCGTGGAGGTGCTGGCCAGCCATGTGCAGCCGACGCAACCCCGGGCCCGCAAGAGAAGCCGACCCAACAGCAGCGACAAGAGGGGCATCGCGGCGGACACCACTGCTGCCCGCCGCTCCACAAGAGCCACGGCTCACAGCAGCGGAGGAGCGGTCGTTCCGCCATGATTCAGCTTCACGTCAACAAAAGACATCCTGCCAACGGCGATCTAGCAAGAGCTATCCGCGTGACAGGCGGATCCCAACGAGCGGTTCACATGGTATTAAATATTTACTGCGAGGTCTGCTCAGCCCACCAAAAGCCATTACCACATCTACCAGGACGCATCCGGCTGGACAGGGACTTCAATGACTCCATCGGCGTGGACCTGTTAACCCTCGCCGACTACGCCAGCAACGAGCTTGTATTGCTACATGTGGTCGACCTGGCCTCTGGTCTCACGCCCTGCGGGACCGCGGCCACCAGGCACACCCATCGGTTGTGTTCGATCGACTACTGCAAATCTGGATCACACATTTCGGCGCACCATCTTCGATGCAGGAGGCGAGTTCGAGCACGAGTTCTCAAAGGAGCTCGAAGACATGGGTTGCCGCCTAAAGACCACCTCAGCGGCTACGCCGCAGCAGAAAGCCAAGGTCGAAAGACACGGTGGAACGGTGAAGATTCTTTCTAGAAAACTGATCGACCAGCTCAGCATCAGATCCGACCAACCCGCGAACGCACAAGATCCAATGGCTGCTCGCCTGGTCAACGCCAAGGGCTATTCGCCATCACAGTGGCTTCTTGGACGTGGTCTGCGTTTACCATACTGCCTGCTGGACAGTGATGGGCGCCCATAGGTCCATGAGCGCATCGTGTCCGACAAGTCGCCCTCCGAGCGGATCGCGACCATGCAGGCCGCCCCGACCTTTACCCAGCATCGTAGATTCAACCAGCCCTTCTCCCGAACGATTCTCGCCTGGTCAACGGCTGACGGAGCCCAGCACGCCTCCGACGTCTATCAGACGGGCGACCATGTCGACTGCCAGAGAAGTAACGGCAAGCCCAAGCGTTGCGGATGCCATGACAATGGACACTCTAACAATCCTATCCCTGAATTAATACATGTGTTAAAATGTGTAAAAACATGTTATAAAAATGTGTCAACCAAGTGTTTTAGACATCTGGGAATTACTTGGCAGCATGCTTCCTCTCCATTAATCGACTTCCACAGCCCAAGCGAGCATGGGCTTTGCAGTGGCACGGACCCAGCATCATCATCGGGTCCGACGGCACCTCCCGCGTGCGGGTGAGCCACCGCTCCACGACGGTGGCGGCCCGTGGACGCCTGCGCCACGACGCGGTCACGGAGCTCGACCGATGGGGCCAGGAGCTCAACGCATCGCACCAAAACGGCGCACGCCGCTGGGACAGCCCCTGGACGACCGAACGCCCAGTGGACCATCGCCGCCACCGCCGTCCCCAGGCAAACCCCCCCCTGCCAGACGGCGGAGGAGATGGTGATGACGGCGGACCCAGGCCACCAGATTTAGGTCGGGCATTTCCCCTACAGGCAGATGTGGGCGGAAAAATTTAACTAACAACACAAAGAAACCCAAAAATGTGTGTAAATATTATATCATATATATATATGAAAAGAAAGAGAGAGAGAGAGAGAGAGAGAGAGAGAGATTCAAAAAAAAACAAAAATGAACGAAAAGTCGTCGAGGGCGCGCCGGTGGATGGCCCCAAGGGGGGGAGGTGGGACCCCCCCCCTCTTCCCCGATCCGTCGTCTCGTCGGGGTCGTCGGGGAACCCCCCCCTCCCCCCCTTTCCCGGTCCGTCGTCGGGGACCCCCCCCTCTTTCAAAACGGAGGGGGGGGGGGGTCCGGACCTCCCCCTTCCCCTCCCCCCTTTTTGGCCGCAAAATTCGACCCCCCCCCTCCCTCCCTTGCGCCACGGCGCCCCCTGGCTCCGGAACCCGACCCTACCACTCCTAGCACTACCACCCCGACCACCCGTAACCCGAACCCCAAATCCTAACCCTAGCCCCAAACAGTACTCAATACTCATTATTCACCACTCACTACCCAATACTCACTCCTCGTGACACATTACTCACTTCTCACTACTCACTGCTCACTACTACGACGCACTACTCACTACCCACTACTCACTACCCACTACCCACATACACACTACTCGTTACTCACGATTCACTACTCACTGCTCCCAACTCACTATTCAATACTCACTATTCACTAACCACTACTCAATACTCACTACTCACTGAACACTATCCACTACTCACTACTGACTATTCGCTATTCACTACTCACTACTCACTGCCCACAACTCACTACTCATTATTCGCTACTCGCTACGCCCTACTCCTTACACAGTACTCACTGCACACTACTCACTACTTACTACTCGCCACTCCCTACTCGCTACGCAATATTCAATAACCACTACGCACTACTCACAACTAAATACTCACTACCCCCTACTCCCTACTCCCTACTCGCTAGTCACTAATCACACGTCACTACTAATTACTCACTACACAGTACTCACTACCCACCACCCACGACTCACTACTCACTACTTACTACTCTCTACTCGCTACTCCCTACGAACACTTCTCATTTCTCACTACTCACTACTCACTAGTCCCTATTCACTACTCACAACTCACTACTCACTATACGCTACTCCCTTATTCACTACTCACTACTCACGACTCACTACTCACTAATGACTATTCCCTCCTCACTACACACTGTTCACAATGCCCTACTCGCTATTCGCTATTCACTACTCGCTACCCCCTACTCGCTACTTACTACTCACTACCCACTCCCCACTATCCACTACTTACTACTCACTTTGTCGCTACTCACTACACACCACTCGCTACTCCCTACTCGCTACTCACTACTCCCTACTAACTACTCACTACTGACTACTCCGTCCTCATTACTCACTACTCAAAATGCCCTACTCGCTACTCACTATTCACTACTCGTTACTCCCTACTCGCTACTCACTACTCACTACCTACTCCCCACGATCCACTACTCATTACTCACTACTCACTACTCACTACTCACTGCGCACTACTCCCTACTCAATACTACTCCCTACTCACTACTCGCTGCTGTCTACTCACATACTCACTATTCACTGCTCACTACTCACTGCCCACTAGTCTCTGCCCACTAGTCTCTATTCACTACTCACTATCCCGAGGCCAGACCTCCCCACCCCTTGCGGGAGAGGCCCCCTCCCCGGCCCCCTGTTCGGCGCAAAGGGGGGGAGAGGGGGGAGGTTCGAACCCCTCCCTCCCCTCCAGCGCAAAGGGGGGGGGGGGGTCCGGACCCCCCCCCCCCTTCAAGGGGGCAGGGGGCAGGGGGGGGGTTCGGACCACCCCCCCCTTGAAGGGGGGGAGGGGGGGGGTCGAAAATCTCACCCCCCCTTTGAAGGTGGGGAGGAGGGGGTTCTGCGAGCACACCACACCCCCCCTTTTCAATTACAAGGTCATCCACTGGCGCCCTTTCAAAATCGTGTCCAGACTATTTCAAGAATGGTCGAAAAATAGTTATTATTGCACTATCTTTGCATTTTCTGCTGAGAGGCAAGCGGGCCTCAACATCAGACCCGCCGGGGTGACGACGCGCTCCCGGACCTCACCGGGGGCCCGCGCCGCAGTGGCGGCCCGCGCGTGCCAGAGACCACCTCCTGCGCGACAAGGAGCTACCAGAACCGACGGGACCGCCGATCATCCGAGCCCACAACTTCGGGCTCAAAGACATACTAATACTACACAATACGGGCGCGGCCGCAAGAAACCCTCGCAAGAACCCAACCCTGAGAACCCGCTTGCGAAGAACACCTGAGGGGAACCCCGGAGCACCCTGAACGCAGCAGCTCCTTCAACGGCTGCGGGAAGTCACCGCGCAGCACGAGGAGCGAAGAAACCCAGGATACCCTGACGAAAAGCATATTGTCTCTTGATGCGCGGCCCCACTGTATGTCTTCTTTGGAGGCGCGCGTCCGACCCGAACATACAGCATACCCATATTGTGGGACATCGTTTCCCGAGCGGTGTGGCCAGAAAGCGCCGGCCGCGGTGCATATATATACTGTAAGATGTCCTGGTGCGCGCGTCGCCCCTGGTGGGGCGACGCACACATAGTGTTAGTATGTTGGGGTGAAGCCGACGCAACTTCGAGCACGTCGAGGACACCGCCCAGAACCGCGAGGCGCAAGAGCTCGCCGAAGGGGTCCGCCGAAGACGGGGCGACACGGAGCCTGCGACCTCTGGAAGAGCCCGCGGAAGCGCATCGGCCCCATCGCCTTCGGGAGGAGCCCACCACGTGCCCAGCGAGCAGCCGCCGCTCCCACCGCCAGCGGAGCTGCCCCCTGGCGCTGTCGCGGCGCCTGCGGGACCCGCCCTATAAGACTCGGGCGCTGCTGCCGACCCGTGAGTATCGCTTACCCGATCCCCATCCCCAGCGGCGTGGCCTGGGCCCCACTGGCCGATTTACCCCCCTAGATGGGGATCTAGATCGTTCCCTCGGGTTTCGAGGGGTGTATCCCCAACTGGGGTGATGATTCGGTGGGGGTCTCGAAGGGGATGGGAATGGGGATGGGGATGGGGATCGGTTAAACGATACTGAGCTGCTGAACCGCAAGTGCAGCCAAGCCAGCGCTATCTGAGCCTGCGCCAGCAGGCCCAGTCGACGACAACCAATATGGCAGCTTCGGCTCAGAAAGGATGCCAGAGTGGGCCAAAATCGCGAAGAAGATCGACACCACAGAGTACCGTCGAAAAGCAGCCGAACGACGACCTGCTGATCCAGAAGGCCAGCGGGCACACAGGAAGACGCACTGCATGCCTTCCAAAGGGATCGTCTTGACAAGCAGGACCCACGCGACCAGGCAGCCAAACGACGGGAGCTGCTTGACGATGCGCAGCACTGCTTCAGGAAGCAGCCAAGGAACTCAAACCGCATCGACCGCTAGCTCGACAGCTACTTGGAGTGCTGCGACGAAGACATACAAGCCTGGGTACAGCTTCACGAAGTGCTGAAGACAGGCAATGCCGCAACCAAAGAGCTTCGCTATGGCGACCTAGGCCAGAGGGACCAGAAGCTCATAAACGCTGCCATGAGGATAGAGTGGTCCACATCGACCGAGTTCGGCGCCTAACCGAAGCTGCCGCCGATGGAGCTTAAAGAGCTGCTGCGCTGCAAATCTGGGGTTCCACTCAGGGGCAAGCGATGGATGCTCACCAGCAAGGGGCCCAGCGTCATGAAGGCCCGGCTCGTCGTCCAGGCATGCCAGCAGGACAAGTCACAGATCAGAACCGACGAGATGACGATTATGGCGCGACGCCTTGTACCTTCCACTGGCCGCAGCCACCCAAACGGGGTGCGATCTATCGTCATACGACGCGATGACGGCAGACCTCTAGTCGGGCAACATCGAGAGACTCCTGTTCTTGCGGATGCCTGCGAAGAACCCGCCGCCAGGAACGCATCCTAGCGAGATCGTGGTGGCCACGGGCGCCATATACAGCACCCGAGATGCAGGTAGGCAGTGGTACCTCGTCGGCAGTGGTACCTCGTCGCTCAGACGGTGTTTCGCGACGACGGCCTGGTCGAGAGAAGGCTCGGGAAGGGCCTCTACTATTTCTACGACGACAAGGGTCTTGCCGCCATGATTCACTCACGTGTAAATGATTTCCTGAATGCGCAGCGCCACACATCCAGCACCTGGAAATCCGCCATCAACACGCTGGAGAAGAAGCCACACCTCAAGAAGACCAGGGCATCATCAAATACTGCGGCCTGTACATCGCCAAGACAAACGACGAGATCCGGGTGGCCCAAGCTGCTGCCGCGTCGCAGGTGGACTATGTCGAGCTCGACGCGAAGACAACCCCCAAACGGGCACGGTCAGCCGACGGCCGCCTTACCCCAGCCAGGGTGTCGAGCTGCCGACGCACGCTCGGGCAGCTGCTCTGGTTGGCAGCACAGACCAGGGTGGACATCGAATTACCGGTGAGCTTCGCAGCCCGCCGCACCAAAGTCGCTACAGTGGCCGACACCTAGACTCTCGACGAGACCGTTGCCTGCGTTCAAACAACGGCTAGGTTCGCCACTGTGCTGAAGCGAAGCCTCGTCGATCTAAGGACGTGCATGACTGTGTGCTTCAGCGACGCCGCCTTCGCCAACGTGGACGGGGTCAAGAGGCAGTGGTGTAGGGTGATGGGCAAAAACCACAGACCACGAGACGTACTGGCAGGCCACTACGACCTGTGCTTGCCCGTTACCTGGTATTCAGGAACGGTCAAGAAGTCAGTGAAATCAACCCTCGCTGCCGATGGTTACGCTACGCTCGAGGGAGCCAGGATCAACACATGGTTCCGACAGCTACTCGCCGAGGCCTACAACACGAAGAAGCCGCCGAAGCAGATCGACAGCCTGAGCCTCAAACGTCCAGGGGAGATCTACAGCGACAGCAACGGCCTCGTGACCCACATCAGGTCCGACGTGGGCAAGTCCACGGACAAGCGCGTCCGCATCGTCGCCTCGATTCAGAGGGGCCGTACATGCACATATCACCTTGAGCCGCACCTGGATCCCGACATGGTCCAGGGTCGCCGACGCGCTGGAGGCTGGCGTACTGCTCTCGTTCTTCGGAGCACGCAAGCAAAGCTTCGGTGCAAGGCAGCCTCACGCCGCGATGCTAGCATCCGTGCTGTTGATCTGCATTGGAAAGGTAACAGGGCAGCCAACGGCATCACCAACGCCTGGGCACTAATTGGACTTGGCCACATACTGGCCCTACCATGTTTACTGCATGATGTGGCTCGCGCTCTCCATGGGGGTCAGCCTTTTCGCCGCGCTGGCGTTCACGCTGCGCATGAACGGACACCAGGGCCTGCTGCCATCATGCGAGACGAATGCCGACGATGCTCAGCACCCTGCGTGGGATGGACGGTATCTCGGGAGGGACCACAACGAAGCAAGCAATGCCGCAGCCTCATCAACGACATCACATTACGCCCGACGAGATCACCGCCTACCTCTGTTCTTGACGAGCCGATGATCCCGGAGACGGTTGCGACGTCAGCCGCATCTAACTCTGCGAGCGCAGCACCAGCCGCGGCTCACTCAACCGCCAGCGACAGCATCACCGTCTACACCGATGACCGTTTCCAGCTCAAGCTCGGCAAATATCGTTTAGTAGAATGGATCGACGCCCACTATGCATCCATAAAGCTCCACTCGTGCGCCTTCAGTGGCACGCAGGACGTTCGCGTGGGGCACAACCCGCAGGGTGTCTACATCACGTGCCAAACGTGCAGAAACCATTGCGCCTGGCTAAAGAGGAATTATTCCAGGACGCCCGAATTATCGACGCTTCACTCCTCACTCCGATGGTATGACGAAAACAGTTGGAGGCAGATCACGATCACGGGACAGCCCAGTGCAGGCCACGATGCAAGGCAAAGTCTCCAGAACCAACGAAAGCAAAAGAATACGTGAGTCCGCTTGCAGAATTGTCTACGCTAGGCATTTGTTTAAATAAGTCTGCAGCTTGCCGATCAGACTCGCGTTTCCCCCGCATCGTGTTTGCCGCTTTGCGCGTGCGACTGAAGCTAGAGCATGCCGTTCCACTCGGATCTTCTAGGATATTCAGGGCACTGGTATATGAGATCCGCATTGCCAGCTGCAGCATATGTTCGAAGTGCACACTGCTACCAATTCAGAGGTGATGACGTTCACCTAGGTTCCTTACACCTTTCTACCAAATAATGAACCAAAAGCCCACCAATTGGGAATTCGGTTGCTTGTCACTGGTCTGTGCAGCTCATCCAGTAATAGCCAGAGGCATCCTGTTGCAGGCCGAGATAAGCAGCTTGCCCACCCCTTTCCGTGCTCGGCGTGTTTCGCTGAAACAAAGCTAGCGCCATCGACAGAATTTTCTGTGCCCGGCTGCTTTTGGCGCCAAGGGCGGCGTGAAGGAGGAATGTGATTCCAGTCTCTTCCTCTGCTCCCTGCCTGGCCCGCTGCGCGTGCCAGTGCCCTTCTCACCCCAAACCTCCCGCGAACGTTTGGCTCGACAGGGCCCTTGGACATGTGAGCTGCGTCTCTCGCAGCGCGAGTGCAAAAGAACGGACAGCGATCTTCCATATCAGGGCATTGACCATGCAGCTCCGCACACGTGCCAAGTGCTCTATCGAGGAGGAACACCAGCGGACGACGTCATTGCATAAACATGCACTGAAACTTCCTCCCTGGCGCACAGAGCGCGCCAGGGGGGGGCAGCGCCCATCTGCAAGAAATCCACGCTGAGCTCCGAATGGTGATGTTTACGTATGCCCCTTTTCTTCTTAGATCCCCACAAGTGTCAACCGCAATGGCCGATTTACCCCCTTAGATGGGGATATAGGCTGATCCCATCGGGTTTCGAGGGCACATCTCCAACTGGGGCGGTGGGATGGTGGGCATCGGGATGGGGATGGACATGGGGATCGGACCAACGATACTGGCACACGTCTCAAGTGCTCTGGCGAACAGCAAAACCGCATCGAGGATCTACGGACCCGGGTTAATGCAAACCTGGGTCCGCCAGGCCTAGCAGGAGCCTGCGAGATCCTGCGGGACCCTGCAGGATCATGCACGACCCTGCACGCAAACCTGGGTCAACGCACGCCTGGCTCTGCAGGATCCTGCAAGAGCCGGCGCTCTGGCTGACCCCCGTTTGCGATGACCCCCGTCTCAACGTTTTTTTAATCGGCGGCGCAGAGAACCCTCAGGCGCGGACGACGGATGGAAGTGCCAATGGCGATCGAGCATTGTCGAAGGCACAGTCCCAGAGATCCGACGTCGTGATTTTTTTCAATACGGGGTCCCCAAAAAACTCGACCCATTCCCCGGGGCCGGTTTTCCATCCTGAGTCGTCTTCCGACGGCCCCGAGGCCCGGCGAGGGCCCTGCGAAAAACCTTGGTCATGTTTTTGTCCACACGTTGGACCTCAGGGCTCCCTCGTCTCAGACCCCCCCACCGCAAAGCCCCGGACGCCGGCTGGCCTTCGCCGCCCGCGGCGCCGCCGGCGCCGGCGCCGCCTCGCCGGCGGCGAGGCTGGCCTCAGCGGGGCCGTCGCGGCCCGCCGGGGGCCCCGCTCGGCCCGCCCGCGCCGCCCGCAGAGGGCGGCCGCCGCCGCTGCCGCCGTCGGCGGCCGTCGCCGCGCCGTCGTCGTCGCACGGCGGCGTCGCTGGTCGTCGCCTCGCCGCTCGGCGGCGCCGCCGCTCGGCGGCGCACGCCGCTCGGCGCCGTCGCTCCCGGGGCGCCCGGCTGGGGCTCCCCTGGGGCCCCGCGGGGCGCCCGGGTGCGACCCCGTGTGCCCCCGGGCAGGGGAGAGGAAGATGCCGACGCCGTTCCGTCCGTTCCTCCTCCTCCTCCTCCTCCCTTCCTCCTCCTCCTCCTCCTCCTCCTCCTCCTCCTCCTCCTCCTCCTCCTCCTCCTCCTCCTCCTCCTCCTTCTTTCTCCTCCTCCTCCTCCTCCTCCTCCTCCTCCTCCTCCTCCTCCGATTATTATTAGTATCATCATCATGATATTTGTTAAAAATAATAAGAAACAGAAAAATAGTATTATTATCAATATTATTATTACCATCATTATTATTATTATGAATGTTATTCTTATTAGTATGAATGTTACAATTCCTCTTTATCAGTATTAATGTTATGTTGCGTGTTCTGAGTGTTCTTCTTAGTTGTCATATTAATATTCTTTTTAATACATTATTCTTAATGTTGCTCATATTAGTTTCTTATTTTTATTCGTCTTCGTATTCTTAGTATTATTATGTTTATGCTTATTGTTTGTATTATGTGTATTGTTATTATTGCTATTCTTCTTATCATTATTAATGTTATTCTTATTAATAGTATTAGTATTATTCCTCCTCCTCGTGTTCCAGCGTTCCCGTTACAACTCAAATCCTCCTCCTCCCTTTCCTCCTCCTCCTCCGCTTCCCTCTCATCCTCACGATCCTCCTCCACGCCCTTTCCTCTGATTCCATATCATCATCCTCCTCTTCCTTTTCCTCTTCTTAAGTGTCTTATGTTGTTTCGTATGGTTACCCTTCCTAGTAGTTCTATGATTGATGAAACTATGATCATTGAATTATTACCCGTTGAATCATAAGTATTACTATTACTATGATTCGTACCAGTAATATAATCAGTATAGTATTCTCGCTAGTATTACGAATTGGACTCGTAATAATATTCTCTTTAGTCGTCTTAAAATCATGATTCGTATGGTATGACTATTAGTTAACTGTTTCTTCTTAGTATTGTTATTAGTTGTCAGTACCATTGTTACGATGATTACTAGTATTATTGCTGGTCAGATTCTTATTGATATGCTGTACTCTTAGTACATATCTGTCTGAGTATTAGTTATACTATTAGCAATAGTTTTGTAGTACTGTTCTTATTACTGTTCTTGTTATTAGCATTCCTAGTATTAGTCGTATGATTATTATTTTTCGAATCGGTTAATATTAGTGGTAGTGGTTGTCTTATTAATAGTTTTCGGATTATTATGCGGTGTAGTATCATGAGTCTTATGCTTATTCGTAACATCACTATGGGTATTATTATTGTTGTTGGTATTAGCTATATGCCTGCGCCTTAGTATGATTATTGTTATGCTCAGCAGTTGCATTATCTGCCTTACGGTTACTACTATGTTTCTTATTATTCGTATTATTTCGTATCTGCCTGATCATCTTATTATCCGTATTATTCGTATTCGAATTAGTTGTCTTGATATTTCGTATTGTAGTTATTCTTATACACGCATTCTTCTTCACGGATTGCAATTCTTATTCTTACTGTTAGTACTATTCGTGTTAATTACATGTTTTATATCATGTGTAACAATATTATTATTATCCGTATGTTTCGTGCTAGTTATTGCTATTCCTATTATTATGATTCCTCCTCCTCCTCCTGATCCTCCTCCTCCTCCTGATCCTCCTCCTCCTACGCCTCCTCCTCCATTTCCTTAAAAAAACCTTCTCCCTGTCGCACCCCGAGGCTGGTCGAAAGGGCGGGCCAGGCGTTTCGCCTGAGACTTCCTCACCACTCATGACCCTGAGACATACAAATTCCAACAGCTTCACAGATGGAGGGCGGGTGGTTTTCAACATGTGGCTCCCGCCTTTGCGCCGCGCACATTCGTTTTAAACGTGTGCAAGAGCTTCACGGATTGAGGGCAGTTCGGTTTCAAAATGCGGCTCTCGCCTCAACGCCGCGCATATTCCTTTTTTTTAAGTTGTATGATGTTCACGGACTCCCATGGTCAACGTACTAGAAATTGCGTTTTGGAAGGAGTCGGGATTATGAGGGTGCAACGGTTACGCTGATTCGCGCTGTTAAGACCCGGAATGGCTTTCTGAGTGTCAAAACGCAACCGTGAGGCTGATCCGTGGCGTTGGAGTCCTGAGAATAATGTTTTGGCATGCCTCAAGGTCTTCGATCGGCTGTCTCTCAACGAGGCAGTTATGAAATTAAACCCTTGCAGGGGTTTATGCAGAGGCAGCTTGGAGGGAGGAATCATTCCAACATCGTTGATGACTCTTGGGTAAATTATGGTCCTCCTCCTCATCCTCCTCCTGCTCCCAGACACCTCCAAGGGCGCGTTCCTCCCAGCATCCCTTGGAGAATCCAGCCGTGGCGACTGGGGGCCTTCCAGGAACGGGCAGTGGCATCGGCACCCTCTCCTCCCACGGGCGCCCCTCTGCCTCGGACGCCCGACCTCTTGCCTCAAATGGGCCACGTCTGCGGCGACATCGACCAAGAGTCCCCCTGTTTGACATGGGAACTGCTCCATGCCGATTCTCCAAATCCGGGCATCAAGGAGCCAGGTCTTGAGTCTGCGGGAAGCGGGTCCTGGCCCTGGGATTTTCCCCTCAGACGAGCCCTTCATCCTGGGTCGTTTTGTTGACGGCCCTGAGGATCCGTTTCCCTCGAGACTGTTCCTTGTCTACCGAGGAAACGAGCACCGACGACGGCGACAATGACGACACCGATGCGACGACCCCTGAGGTCCAGGATCCGGCGCGGCGGGTCGGGGCAACGATCTTTCCCCCTGGGGCGGGCCGGGGAGAATGGTTGGCGCGGGCCCGGCCGCGTCGTCGTTGTCGCCGTCGTCGGTGCTCGTTTCCTCGGTAGACAAGAAACAGTCTGGAGGGAAACGGATCCTCAGGGCCGTCAACAAAACGACCCAGGATGAAGGGCTCGTCTGAGGGGAAAATCCCAGGGCCAGGACCCGCTTCCCGCAGACTCCAGACCCGGCGCCGCGCCGCGCCAGGGGCGCCCGGCGCCCAGCGCCCGGGCGGCGCCAGAGGTCAGCTCACGACGACAGGCGCCGGCCGCGCCACGCTGCCCTCGCGCAGCCTCGCCACGCTCCGCCGGTGGAGCTCCGAAAGCTCCTCGTGCCCCCTGAGCCTGGCCTCGGACGTGCAGCCGCGGAGGCAGACCAAGCACACGCTGGTGATCGCGGCCGGCTGCTTCGCCGACGCGACCGCGCCCTGGGCGGCGCCCGACCGCGCCACCGTGGCCTCCGCGGCCGCGGCCGCCGCCGCCGCGGCGCCCGCCCCTGGTGCGCCCGACGGCGGCCCGCCGGCGTCGCCAGCGCCCGCGGTGGCGGGGGCCGAGGACCACGACGGGTTCCTGGGCTCCAGGACCGTGGCCGGCCCGGGCCTGACCATGGTGCGCCGCAGCTCCCGCGGCTCCGCCGCCTGCCTCCTGCTGCGCCGGCGGCTCCTGGGCTCGGAGGCGCTGCCGGCCGCGTGCTCCTCCGCCTGCCGCTCGCGCCGCGGGCGGGCCGCGTCGGAGACGGCGCCAGGGGCCCTCGCGGGCGGCGCCGAGGGCGCGGAGGCGTGAGGGGACGGGGCCGCCCCGAAGGCGCCCTCCTCGAGCCTGGCCAAGAGGGCCGCGCCGCTCGACGCCGCGGCCTCCAGGGCAGCCTCGCCCGCCGCGGGCGCCTTCGTCCGGCCCCGCGGCGCAGCGCCGGGGCGGCTCCCGAGGCGGACTCGAGGAGGCTTCGGAGCTCAAGGCTGGGCCGGTCGTGGGCAGTGCGCGCGACCGCAGAACGTCACACGACCCGGCAAGCGCGGGGCGAGTCGGAGGTCGCCAGGCAAGCCAGGAACCCCACACGAGCTGACCTGCGATGGGCAAGCTCCTGCAGTGAACCGTTGCGGGGATCGAGAATTCTGGACCCTGGGCTCCCAGGCCTCCTCGCGTCGCGAAAAGATCACGATGGAAGGTTTGGGGGGTATTCTCAACCTTTGGGGGTTCTCGCCCCACAAGATGAAACGCTGGTCCTGGGCAATGGGTCGAGACCTCCAGGGGTCCACGCTGCGAAAGAGTCATGACGTCGGGGACCTGGGATCAAGGGCCTGGGATCGAGGAACCGAAGCACGAACGCTCAGCTCAGCACCGGAAACCCCAAACCCGAACACTGTGACACTCAGCCCAAAGAACTAGCCTGCCCTCCCCACCAGCTCAAAACATCTTCCCGCGCGCCTGACATCTTAACCCTAAAACCATGACGCCCTAATCTAGGGTCTGGCAAAGAGGGATCAGCGAAACAGCTCTCGTACACGATTTCCATGGCGCCTCCCAGCACAGGAGACGCCAGCGTGTCGAGGAAGGCGCCCCACGGCGGCGGGGCCCAAACCCGCTGCATGCAGCAGATTTCGCACCCCCCCCTGTCATGATCCCCCCCCCGCGGGAGATCCTCGTCGTCTTGCGTTCGGGCCAAAACACGGGCTTCTGGCGGCCGATCGGCACGGCCCAGGCACATCTGGAACGCCCTCGACGAAACCCAGCTGCTGGAGGGCCTCCCGAGGCTGGAAAACCGCCGAGAACCGACGGAGCCGCCCGAGAACCTCGAACCTCGAACTCCTCCCGCCCCTCCCCCCTTCAGATCCCCCCTTTCGGGGATGGACAGACCTTCCTTTGGCAAAACGTGGCTTCGTGAAAACGACCTCGGGCCCGAACCTGGCGGGCGCAGGCCTGGAAAAAGGAGGGCCGCGGCGCCCCCTCGAGAACCGCAAACGGACAATTCACTAATCGACGTGTCAGGGTGGGGGCTCTATCCACCCCCGACCCTGTCGTCCGACCCGACCCCGACCCCGAGCCCCGGGCTTTGGCCCTGTATATGCTTCGTCTGCCGACGCGAACCAACCTGGGCGGAAGGCCGCCCGCCGCCTGTCCTGCAGGCCCGCCGCCTCCACCTCCGCCTCCGCCCCCGCCCCCCGCCCCTGGCCCCCCGCCCCTGACCCCGCCTCCTACTCCTCCTCCCCCTCCTCCTCCTCCTCCTCTCTCCTCTCCTCCTCCTCCTCCTCCCTCCTCCTCCTCCTCCTCCTCCCTCCTCCTCCCCTCCTCCTCCTCCTCCCCCTCCTCCTCCTCCTCCTCCTCCTCCTCCTCCTCCTCCTCCTCCTCATCTTCCTCCTCCTCCTCTTCCTCTTCCTCCTCCTCCAGATGATCGGAGCCCCTTTCTGAGGTGGAAGAGGTTCCCAACTACGAGGCCACTCTTGAGGATGAGAATCTTTTTGCGCCTCTTGAGTATGATGGTCCTGCTGCTGACCGTTGCCCGCGGCCTATGCAGTGCTTTCGTTGTTAGCAGGAACGAGGCGATCAAGTGATGTGCAGGATGAACTGGAACGTGTCCTCGTGACGGGGCCGGTTACCATGATTGTTATATCGTGTGATGTGGCACGTGATCCTGTGAATGGCGACTTGACTCGTGCGGACATCGTTTGCAAGTGGGACCTGCTCCTGGGAACAAGGCGTGCTATCGGCCTCATTGGAAGCCCTCCATGGGAGACGTGGTCTGCTGCGAGGTGGCAGGAGCTAAGAGTTGCTGATCGGTATCGTCCACCTGCTCCAGTTCGCACTCTCAAACACAGGCGGGGTCGTCCAGATGTGAATGCACGCCAACATCAGCAGCTATCCATTGGCTCTCAGCTCCTGCTCAGCCAGCACCAGTTGATCCTGATTTGCCTTGAGGTAGGAGCTGGTGCTCTGAGGGAACATCCAGAAGTTGCCCACTGGGAGGAGAGAGCACCAAGCTCGTGGCAGACAGCATCGTCATGTGCTCTGAGCGCGGCCCCTCCCTCCAGGACAGTTCCGTTCGACCAATGTGTGTTTGGGCAGGTAAGCAAGGCTCCTACCACGTTTCTGCATTTGAGGTTGGACCCCTTGCCGAGGAAATCCAGAGCCAAGGAAAGCTAGGACCTTGTCCCCATCTTCGAAACACCCACACCACCCTCCTCGGCATTGACCCCGCGACAGGTAAATGGAGAACGGCCCCCAAGAAAAGGTACCCTCAGGACCTGTGTGCTGCCATGGCCCGTGCAATTGCCCGATTTTTAGAGGAAGCGTGCCGGCCATGTGACAATGATGATCTAGATTCCAGCGATCTTCCTGAAGAACTGAATGTGTTGTTTCAGGCTCTGGACCCCTATGCTGACGGCACTGTGAAGGAGAAGGCTGATAGTGCCTTGGATCTTGCTGGATTTAGGACTAGGGGCCCAGGGACACCCGTTTTGATCGCCCTCGAGCCCCTTCCACTGCCCCTCCCGCGGGTCCTGCGGAGTTCCCGTCGGCTGGTCTTGATCCTTAGCCCGAGGAACCGGACCCCTGGCGTACGGAGGAGGACCCGTGGGCCGAGAAGGGCATGCTGAAGGCTCGTGAGGCTGCTGGGGACCCTTGGGTTTCCCACGCCCTCCCCGCCTCCTGCTCCTCCCCGCCTACTCCTCCTCCTCCTCCCCGCCTACTCTCTCCTCCTCCTCCTCCTCCTCTCCTCCTTCCTCCTCCTCCTCATCTCCTCCTCCTCCTCCTCCTCTCCTCTCCCTCCTCCTCCTCCTCCTCCTCCTCTCCTCCTCCTCCTCCTCCTCCTCCTCTCCTCCTCCTCCTCTCCTCCTCCCCTCTCCTCCTCCCTCCTCTCCTCCCTCCGCCTCCTCCTCCCCTCTCCCTCCTCCTCCTCCTCCTCCTCCCTCCTCCTCTCCTCCTCCTCCTCCTCCTCCTCCTCCTCCTCCTCCTCCTCCTCCTCCTCCTCTCCTCCTCCTCCCTCTCCTCCTCCTCCTCCTCCTCTGGGGATCCCAAAAGCTACCAGTACCGCTGCTCCCTGGACCTCTCTAGGGGCGCTTTCTGACCAGCACTCCGTGGCGACTCCGGCGGTGGCGACGAGGGCCTCCCACGAGGCCCAAAAAGTGGAAAACGAGGGCCGGCTAGCGGTATTGCGGGACGGGAAAATGACCATAGCCATTGCTTCTTGTTTGCGCCGCCTTCCAGCCGGCCGAAAAAGAAGCAGTGGTTGTGGTCATTTCCCTGGTGCCAAGCTTCACGAAAATGACCACAGCCACTGCTTTGTTTCTGCTGGCTGGAAGGCGGCAACAAAAGAAAAGCCGTGGCTGTGGTCGTTTTCACGTCCCGTAGGTACGGGTACCTTTTCCTCCTCGTCATCCTCTCCCTTCGGAGCCGCCGCCGCCGGCTTATTTTCTTTCGGAGGTGCTAGGGGTAGGTAGGAGGGTTCAGTCTTGTCTGGGTTTTCGGCACCAGGCCGTTGAGTTCCAGCTCAGAGCCGCCGAATTTTTACGACAAATTATGGGAACCTGTTCCTCCTCGTCATCCTCGTCATCCTCTCCCTTCGGAGCCGCCGCCGCCGCCGCCGTGGAGGGCAGCATGGGGTCCCGGCCAGCTCCGCTGGGGGCGCCCCCTCCGCAGCCGCGGCGGCACGCCAGCGGAGCAGCCCGTCGCGGGTGGCGGCGAAGCCGGCGCCCGAGGGGGCCGCGGGGGCCGCGGCCTCGCGCGTGGCTCGGGGGGCTTCTCTGTGGCAGCTCGCGGGAGCCTCCCAGACCATCTGCCAGCTTGTTGGCTCTTGCGAGTCGACGCCAGTCGACGCGGAATCGACGCTCTCGTCGACGCTGCATCGGCGCTGATCGACGCTACATCGGCGCGGTCTCATCGACGCCCGGACGCTGGTCGAGGCTGGTGGACGCTCAAGACGGAACGAAGCGGGTACGCCAGGCTCTCCACTTGCTGCCGAGGGTCGAGATCTTCGGGGTTGAGATCTTCGGGGTGCGAGGGTCGAGATCGAGATCTTCGGGGTTGGGAGGGTCGAGATCGAGATCTTCGGGGTCGAGATCGAGATCTTCGGGCCGCGACTGGGCCGTGTGCGAGGGTCGAGATCTTCGGGGTTGGGTCTTCGAAGTCCTCGGGCGCCTTCGTTGGCCCTCGGCGTCTGTCCATCGCCAGGGCGCCTCTTCCAGCAGCTGCGCCCCGCCGGGGGAGCACTCGGGAGGCGCGAGGAGCGAGGAGCCCAGGGGCAGAGAACGAGGGAGAGGGTACGGATGAGGCGAAGGGGCCCTGGGACACACGAATAGATACACACAAATAGCAGGATGCCCAACACTTTCCCATACTTCCTGGATTCTTGTCTTCCCCCCCCCTTCCCGCATCTTCCCACATCTTCCTGGGGATCAACGAGCAATTGTGTCTGCCTGAGTGTTTTTCCCCACCTGGATAAGGGCAGGCCGTGGTCCGTCCGGGGGCTTCTCCTCCTCCTCCTCCTCATCCTCCTCCTCCTCATCATCAATTAGTCAATGGGAATCACTGAGAATCAATACGAATCAAGAGGACCCACTTAGATTCAATTAGAGTCAATAGGAAACAATAAGAATCAGAAGGAATTACTGACAATCAATAAGAACCAATAGGACTCAATCAGAATCATGAGAATCAATCGGTGCATCTGGTGGGGACCCCTCATGGGGCCACGAAACGTGTGAGGGGTGCCCCCAAATGAGCCCGAGGCGTCCCGTGGAGACCCATCGTGGGACAACGAAACATGTGAGGGGTACTCTGAAATGGGCCCGGAGCGTCCCGTGGAGACCCCTCGTGGAACCACGTTAAACGTGTGAGGGTGATCCGAAATGGGCCCGAGGCGTCCCGCGAAGACACTCCACAAGGGCAGTGGACCGTGCGAGTGGCTACGAAACGTGCGAGGGGTGCTCCGACATGAGCGCGAGGCGTCCCGTGGAGACCCTTGAACGGCAGCGAAACGTTTGAGGGGTGCTCCAAAATGGCCCCGAGGCATCCGAAATGACTCGCCTTGCCTTCGGTAGGGACTCCTCGTGGGGCCACGAAAAGCGTGAAAGGTGCACCGCAATGAGCCCGAGGCGTCCCGTGGAGACCCCTCGTGGGGCCACGAAACGTGTGAAGGATGCTCCGAAATGGGCCAAGGGCATCCCGTGGAGACCCCTCGTGGGGCCACGAAACGTGTGAGGGGTACCCTCAAATGAGCCCGAGGCGTCCCGTGGAGACTCATCGTGGGACAACGAAACGTGTGAGGGTACCCCGAAATTGGCCCGAGGCATCCCGTGGAGACCCCTCGTGTGTGTCAGGAGTGCTCCGAAATTGGCCCGTTGGCGTGGGCGTGGGCTTGTGCGTGGGCGTGGGCGTGGGCGCGGATGTGGGTGCGGGCGTGGGCATGGGCGCGGGCATGGGCGTGGGCGTGGGCGTGGGCGTCGGTGAAGGTGTGGGTGCTGGCCTGCTGCACCCCCGCCACCGGGCGCGAGCGTGGGCGTCGGCGTCGGTGTGCTGGCCTGCTGGCCTGCTGCCCCCCCCCTCTGGAGACGGGGCACACATAGGCATTGACACCAACAACAACAACAACAACAACAACAACAACAACAACAACAACAACAACAACAACAACAACAACAACAACAACAACAACAACAACAACAACAACAACAACAACAATTACTAGCACGTGGGGACACTCCGTTCTCACCAGTGCCAGGGTTTTCATAGGAGGCGGGCAATACCCCCACTTTGTGGGGGGGCCGGTTCAAGCTCTACCAAATTTCCAAACGACTCTTCGCCACCACCCACACCCAGCTTCCCGCCCTATGACGTTCGGACACTTCACTTCGTGGCATGCGGACGACCGTGGCTACTATTCAGGGCCCCGCGGCCGACGACGACGGCGTGCGCGCGCGAAGAAAAAACGAATGTGTCCCGCATGGTATTATTTGACAGGGATGATGGCCCTGGCAGGTGCGCAACCGTTGTTGCAGAAGTTCGAAAAAGTTGCTCGCAAAAGCCCGTTTGACAGAAATGTTTAAAAAGTGTTGGGTTTCCTACGAATCCGCAAGAGCGCGCGGGATGAGATTTTGACAATTTTTTGTTGAAAAACCATTGGTTTTTTGATGTTTTTATGTTAAAATCGCTACGAAACACTAAGGTTTTGGAAGGATTTCGTCTTGCGCGCGCGAATGTCCACTTTACCTTATTTTTTGCAAGGGATTCTTGAAGTTTGGTTATGTTAGAACAAGAAATGTCCACTTTAGCTTTATTTTTTGCAAGGGAAAACCGCCCGTAACAAAACAACCGGATCCGGACCAACCCGTTTTGCCTGAGACTTCCTCACGAAAATGATGAAAACGTGGCTGCGGCCTAGGCGCGGCGAGGGGGCCGCGCACCAGGGGCCCCAACAATAATTATTCTTTAGAAGTGATAATGTTCAACAACAACAACAACAACAACAACAACAACAATCACTTTACCCGAACGCTCAGTGTTCTCACCAGTGCCAGGGTTTTCATGCGACGCCAGCCAATACCCCCACTTTGTGGGGGGGCAGTGCAAGCTCTACCAAATATCCACACGACTCTTCGCCACCACCCACACCCAGCTTCCCGCCCTATGACGTTCGGACACTTCACTTCGTGGCCTGCGGACGACCGTGGCTACTACACTGGCGTGGAGTACACACCCACAGAAGTTGTTAAGCCTACGTTCGTACACCCACAGAAGTTGTTAAGCCTTGGCCCCTGGCAGGCGCGCGAACCCCGTTGCAAGAGCGTGCGAAAGTAGCTCGCGCGAGCTCATGTAACATAAATGTTGGAAAACCATTGGTTGTTTTAGGATTCGGACAGCGCGCGCGGGTGGAAATTTTGAAAAGTCGTGCAGGTGTTTTTCGAGGACCTACGCTGCGATTCGTGTGATTTTATGATGCGCGGTGCTAAAATTCTTAAGAAGCCCAATGGTTTTTGGAGATTTCGGCGTGCGCGCGCGAAGAAAAAACGAATGTGTCCCGCATGGTATTATTTGACAGGGATGATGGCCCTGGCAGGTGCGCAACCGTTGTCGCAGAAGTTCGAAAAAGTTGCTCGCAAAAGCCCGTTTGACAGAAATGTTTAAAAAGTGTTGGGTTTCCTACGAATCCGCAAGAGCGCGCGGGATGAGATTTTGACATTTTTTTGTTGAAAAACCATTGGTTTTTTGATGTTTTTATGTTAAAATCGCTCCGAACACTAAGCTTTTGGAAGGATTTCGTCTTGCGCGCGCGAATGTCCACTTTACCTTATTTTTTGCAAGGGATTCTTGAAATTTGATTATATTAGAACAAGAAATGTCATTTTATAGTGTTTTTTGCAAGGGAAACGGATTACAACAAAACAACCGGATCTTGATCACATCGTTTTACCTGAGGCTTCCTCACGAAAAATGATGAAAATGTAGCTGCGGCCTAGGCGCGGCGGGGGGGCGTGCACCAGGGGGTCCAACAATAATTATTCTTTAGAATTAATAATGTTCAACAACAACAACAACAACAACAACAACAACAACAACAACAACAACAACAACAACAACAACAACAACAACAACAACAACAACGACAACAACAACAACAACAACAACAACAACAACAACAACAACAACAACAACAACAACAACAACAACAACAACATCGCCGTCGTCATCGCCGTCGTCGCCGTCGCCGTTGACGTCGACGTCATCGTCGTCATCCACATCGACGTCGTCGTCGTCTTCGTCGACGTCGTCGTCGTAAGTCGTCGTCGTCCACATCGACGTCGTTGTCGTCGTCCACATCGACGTCGTCGTCGTCGTCGACGTCATCGTCGTCGTCGTCGTCGTCGCGGTCGTCGGTTGTCGATCGTCGTCGTCATCGTCTGCACCGACGTCGTCGCAGTCCTCGTCGGTCTTCCGTCGTCGTCGGTCGTCGCCGTTGTCGACGCCGACGCCGTCGTCGTCGTTGTCGTCGGTCGTCGTCTTCGTCGTGGCTCGTCGTCGCCGCCGTCGCCGCTCTGGTCGGCGGGCAGGGCGAAAACGATGCCCCGGACGCGCTCCGCCCCGCGGGGGAGCGGGGCCCGGCCCCCCCCCGCGCCTCCGCCGGCTCCTCCGGGCCGCCGGCCTCCGGCTCGGAGGCCCCGCGCGGCTTCGGCTGGCCGGGCCTCCGCCGCGCGCGGCGGGGAGCTGGTGCTCCTCAGGCCGCGTGCTGGCGCCGGCTCGTGCTCGTCCACCGCGGCCCTTCAATACGACGAGGGCGGCTCGAGAGGGGCCGGCACAGGCTGCGCCAGCTCGTGCTCGTCCACCGCGGCCCTCCAATACGACGAGGGCGGCTCGAGAGGGGCCGGCACAGGCTGCTCGCCGGCGGCGGGGCCGAGCGGGGCACGCACCCGCTCGGGCCAGCGCGCGTCCTGAGGATCCGCGAGCGGGGGAGGGGGGCTTTGTTTGTTCGGGATTCTCGGAGGCGCGCGGGAGGGGAAGTTTGGGAGGGAGTCGTGGGTTCGAGGTTCGAGGTTTGAACGACCTGCTCCGTCGGCGTCCGGCGGCTTCCCAGCCTGCTCCCCAGCAGCTGCGTCTCGCCGAGAGCGTGCGGGGAGTGCCCGCGCCGTGCCGATCGGCCGCCAGAAGCCCGCGTGTTGGCCCGAACGCCAGACGACGAGAATCTCCCGCGGAGGAGGAGGAGGAGGAGGAGGAGGAGGAGGAGGAGGAGGAGGAGGAGGAGGAGGAGGAGGAGGAGGAGGAGGAGGAGGAGGAGGAGGAGGAGGAGTGGAGGAGGAGGAGGAGGAGGAGGAGGAGGAGGAGGAGGAGGGGGGGGGGGGGTATAAAATCTGCTGCATGCAGCGGGCTTCGGCCCGACGCCAGGCGCTCTCCTCAACACACAGGCGCCTCCTGCGCCGGGCGTTGCCGGGGAAAGCAGGCACGCGAGCTGATCCGCAGACCCCCGTCTGTGCCATTCCCCCTGTCGGGGGCGCGCGAACCTGGATTAGCGATCCATGGATTTGGCGCGCGGTCGCCAAATCCATGCATCGGGGGAGGTGCCCTCCCCAAAATGCGGCCCGTGCCGCCTCGTTCGGCGGCGGAAATCCGCGATTTCCCATGGAGACGGGACCCGTCGCTAGTCCACGCCCCCTTGATCCATGTCTGCGATCGCCTGACCCTGTCGCCCGACCCCAGAGCAGGGCGCCGTGCCTTCGCGGTCCAAGCGTGAGGCGCGCGCAGGGAGGCCGTTCGGAGCCCTCGGGGAGGGCAGGGCACCGCAGGAGGGCGGCGGGGCGGCTCGGAAGCCCTCCGGCCCGCCGCCCTCGGGGAGGCCTCGGGGAGCTTCCCGGAAGGCCAGAGGCCTGCTGGAAAGGCCTGCCACCTCTGCGAGGAGGCGGAGGAGGAGGAGGCCGAGGAGGAGGAGGAGGAGGAGGCGGAGGAGGAGGCGGAGGAGGAGGCGGAGGAGGAGGCGGAGGAGGAGGCGGAGGAGGAGGCGGAGGAGGCGCTTCCCCCCTGGGCGCGCCGCCGAGATGCAGCGGGGCGCGGTGCGAGAAGCGGCGTCCCCCAGGGGAGCGGAAGGAGCGCGCTCCACGGGCGGGGCGCCTGCGCGCACACGGCCGAGCCCAGTCGGGGGGCCAGGCGGCCTCCCCCGCGGGGGGCGCCTCGGGCTGCCCGGGCGAGGGGTGGCTGCGAATGCGGGCAGGGAGGGGCTCCAGAGCCACAGCAGCCCCCAGGGGGGGAGGGGGGTGGGTCGTCGGCAGACTGCGAGGCTCGGAAGGAGGGTCCAGGTAAGCCCGCCGGGGGCGCAGGGTGCTGCACACGACGCCACGAGCCCGCCGCAGGCGCTGACTGCTTCGTTCGCGTGTCAAAACATACCGGCTGGGTCGCGGGTGGGTTACGGACGGGTCGGTGGTGGGTCGCTGGTGGGTCGTGGGTGGGTCGCGGGTGGGTCGCGGACGTGTCGCGGGTGGGTAGCCAGAAATATAGAACTAGGAAAGAAAATTCGAGCAGGGCAATGCAAAGATGGCCCAGCCCCACACACGGGGAGTCTGCGAGGCCAGGAGCTCTGCCTGTGGAGGGGCACGCCCTGCACCGCGCAGCAGGCATGGCTGTGAATTGGAGGTGAGAACCGTTGCGCTCGTTTCTCCCAACCCTGTGCTGGGTTCTCGTTTTGAACAGAGCACTGTGGTATCCATGCCTCCCTCTCCTTCTCCTTCCACATCCTCCTGCCTACCTCTGCGACGCCCCCATGGGAGGCTGCGAACTGCGCAACTGTCGCCACTCTCGCGGGCCCCTGGGAGACACGGCGGAGCAGGGGAGTACGCGCGCCCAGCCGAGACCTCTCGGCTCCCTGGGTGGCTGCGAACTGCGCAACTGTCGCCACTCTCGTGGGCTCCTGGGAGGCGCGGCGAAGCGGCAGTCACGCGGGAGGAAGAGGAGGAGGAGGAGGAGGAGGCGGAGGAGGAGGAGGAGGAGGGGGAGGAGGAGGAGGATGTTGCATGAAGTCCGCGCAGCGTCAAAAAAGAAGGAGGAGGAGGAGGAGGAGGAGAAGGAGGGATGCTCTGCACGTGGCCGGGATATACGCTGCCCTGGACGGGGAGGGCGACGGGGGGGGGAGGGGGGGGAGGGCGAGGGCGAGGGCAAGGGGGGAGGTGGAGGAGGAGGAGGAGGAGGAGGCGGAGGAGGGGGAGGAGGAGGCGGAGGAGGAGGAGGAGGAGGAGGAGGAGGCGGAGGAGGAGGAGGAGGAGGAGCAGGAGGGCAACGTCAAGAAAGGAGGAGGAGGAGGAGGAGGAGGAGGAGGAGGAGGACGGCTGCCCTGCACGTGGCCGGGATATACGCTGCCCTGGACGGGGAGGGCGACACGGGGGGAGGGCGGGGGCGAGGGGGGCAGGGGGGGGAGGTCCGAGAGGAGCACGGGGAGCCGGCGGCAAAAGGGGGGGGAGCCGGCGGCGCACGTCCGCGTCCCGTCGGACCCGCGGAGGCACGATCCTCAGCAGTGGCCGCTGTCGACGACGACGACGACGACGACGACGACGACGACGACGACGACGACGACAAGCGAGCCAGGCATTCGGAAGTCATTGCCCAGGGAAACGGAGGAGAGAGGGCGAGCTGAGGAGCGGGCGGAACGGGAGCAGCAAGCGATTCGCGGCGGCGGTCCGTCGGGCCCGTGGTACATCGGGCGTATCTCTCCATGTGCTCCTTTGTCAGGAGCGCTCCTCTTGAGAGTCGCCGCACATGGAGAAAGGGTTGGGTACGTCTCGGGCAATCATTGAAGCCTATCATACTCCAAATGTTGGGGGATTAGCGGCAAATAGCGACAAAGAGCAGCAGATAGCGGCAACCGATTAGCGGCAAATAGCGGAACACGCCCCGCGCCAACCGCCAACCAATCACATCACCCAGTGTTCGCCGCCAGTGGCCGCTAAACGTCCCAAACAAATGTCATTTAAACTCAAGGCTTTCATTAAACAACAAACAAGAAGGGAAGAGCATCGGAGCCAAACCAGATGCAAATGAGGTCGGTCGGGCAACTCGTTAGAATGACAGACACTCGATGTCGCATTGAGTCAGCGGCATGGCTTCCAGAAAAGAAGGGAAAAAAGTCGGAGCCAGACCACTTGAACTGAGGCTGCTCGGGCCCCGCTTGTGTTGCAACAGAGAGAAAGGAGGGAAGCGATGAGATACCGTAACGATGAGGGGAGGCAAACGGAGAGCCAAACCACTTGCAAATGAGGCTCGTCGGGTACCTCGTTGGGCGAACGAGGAACGGGTGGTGTGTCATTCGGGAGGGGGGGGATGAGGTACTGCGGAGCCCTCATCAATCCATCAGCTGCGAAGGCGAGGTAGGACGAGAAAGGCAAGTAAGAGGTCGCAAACTTCGCCATTGAGGGAGAGAGTGGCTCGAGAGTGGTCACAGCATACGAGAGCACGACGGGCACGCCGTGACACACAAACTGGCAGTGACCATGCTTGGTAAATCTAAGGAGCATCGCCCTGAGGCATCTCTCGGGTGTTGCTGGAAGGAGGAGGAGGCGGAGCGTGTGGAGCGTGGCCGAAAGGAAGGAGAGGGAGGAGGAGGAGGAGGAGGAGGGAGGAGGAGGAGGAGGAGGAGGAGGAGGAGGAGGAGGAGGAGGGGGAGGGGGAGGAGGAGAGGAGGAGGAGTCTTGACCCAAGGTGTCCCAGGCTTTTCGCGCCATCCTGAAGCCCCTGGAACCCTCCCTCTAGGCCTCGTAATCGTCCTCCTCCTCCTCCTCCTCCTCCTCCTCCTCCTCCTCCTCCTCCTCCTCCTCCTCCTCCTCCGCCTCCGCCTCCGCCTCCTCCTCCTCCTCCGCCTCCTCCTCCTTGGCGGAGGCCACCTGGGCATCCCTGGGGATCCTGGGGGCACCTCAGGCCAGGGACACCTTTGTCAACACCCGAATCTCACAAGGCGGCGCTAGCGGAAAACACATGCCGTGCCAACTGCCGATCGAAGGCGCGTGCAAAATAAAGTAGGAGCAACACGGTCACACTCGAGCGAGGTCTTCTCGAGCGTGGTCAAGATGTCAAACAGAAAGATATGATCGAACTGGCTGGGACACACAACATGAACCCACAACGCTCCATTGTGATTGATGTTTCTTCGGCTCCGAGCGCCGTCGGTGGTCATCACCAAGGGACCGTTGTCGAGGATCTGTATGGCGCCGAGGTCGTAGTGGTTCGTCGGGGTCTCGTAGACGGTCGTCAGGTTGGCGATGTACCGATATTCTGGGGTCTGTCTGATGATCGACTCGGCCGAGATGGCTGCTACGAATGATACTTTGGTAGTAGTCGCCATGAAGATCATACGCAAGACCTCTCGTGTGACGTTGTTGGCGGCGAATATCTCGTCGGCGATGGTCTCGGAGACTTGAGGCGTTCCCCAGGGTGCCTCTGGGGTGCGCCGCTTGCTTGCTCTGCTGCCTAGAACGTCGGTTGCATCGTGTAGGTACCAGGTTCGTCGTGGGAACTCTACGTAGATGGCCGCTACCTCGCCATGTAAGATCCTGCGTTGTGCTCGCCGAAGTACTGTCGGAAGTTCTGAGGTCTGGCCATCGCTGGGGAGTGCGATCTGCGCGTAGTCCAGTCCGCTGATGCTCGTGATCCCGTTGCTGGCCATGATCTGTTGGAGGTCGGCAGCCTGTCGAGGGCGGTCGGTGATGAAGACGATCTCTTGGCACTCGGCTGGTTCTGCAGGCGAGCTCGCGGGTGGTCTGCTTGGTGATGGCTCGAGTCTGGCGAATACTTTGGGTAGGACGGGCGACGTCTCGAGGAGAGGCAGCGGCGTGACGTCGCACGGGTAGGCTGGCTCGTCGCTGAAGGTCGGGTGTCGCCCTTGCTTCTTGTTGGCGTTTGTGGCCTCGGCGATGGCGGCGAGGTTCTCTGCTGCTTGCTGCGCCGTCAGAGGCTCCATCGTCTGGGCGCGCCAGGCATACCAGGATTTGCGGCAACGGTGGGCCACCGATAAGTGCTTGATGAGCCTCGGAAGAGAGCGGTGCTCGGTCTGGCAGCATCGGCATGCGGCACCTGTCGCCCAAAAGCGCGGGTCTTCGTGGTCTGGACGGTCCCTGCCCAGATGGATTAGCATGCCTTGCCTGGAGGCGCCGCGGCCGCAGGCGTAGCAGACGCACTTCTGATTGTTGGTGTCGTCGCAGAGGTCCAGCACTTCAGTTGTGTGATCTGCCAAGGTCATCAAGATGTCCTTCTGGAGCTTGGCGCCTGGAGCTCGGTCGCGAGTGTGGAGAACGGATGCCTTCGAAGCTGCCTTGACCGCGTTGGTGAATAGCTTCGGCTTCTGTCGGGCCCAGTTGATGATGTCGCGGTCGTGCTGGGTTTGGCTGGGCCACCTCTCTTTTGGTATGTACGTACGTAGGAAGTCGAAGTCTTTCTTGAGCTGGCGGCCATGTGCCCCTTCGTTGGTGCTGGCCGTCGAGTAGCTGAAGTAGGACTGCTGGAGCATTACTCAAGAGCCCAGGCAAGTATCGTAGCCGCGCGATCGACTGGTGGGTGATGAAGTCGGGTACTCCTGTCTTGGCGATTGCCTCGGCCTCCGAGATGCGCTGGTCGGGTGAGTTGGTCCTGGGCAGCGAAGCTGCGACTCGGCATGGGCCCATGTACTTGGCGGATATGTGCTTCAGGTCCTTCAGGGCGAGGTCGCCCCAGACATGGCGGTTGTAGGTAAGCGAAGATGTCAAAAAAGAGTGGACGCACTTGATGTTGGCTTTCTTCGAGAGCTTCTCGAGGCGGAGGATCTGCTTCTCTAGAGGCCGGGCTGCACCAGGCGCACGGTTGACCCTTAGGCAGATCTCTGGCCCCATGACCCCGCCCGCCGAGATGATGGCGCCGAGTGCTTTCTGTTGCGTTACCAGCTGCACCTTGATAGCAAGTCCGTCAAATTCTAGGTATGCGATGCCCTCCTTGGCCACCCGTTGTTTCTCCTTCTTGGCCCCCGCGCCGTAGTGCATGAGGATGGCCTTGGTCTTTTCTGGGCGCGGCTTCAGGCCATGCTGGAATGCCGCTGCGCAGAGCCCGGCAGCTGCCAGAGCTGTCGCGTTGATCAACGGTCGAGTTGTAGTCGGCGAGGTCGTCGACGAAGGACATGTTTCTGAGCACGCTTCCTTCGTGAGGGGTTGGTGAGAAGAGAGGCTCGCTGCAGGCCTCTATCTCGCGCCCGCCTGTCTGCTGGCCGTGGGCCTCTTCCTCTCGAACTGCCCGGTCGATTGCCCTCAGCATGACGGCGAAGTGCATGTTGAAGGCGACGTCCGAGTATGGCACTCCAGATCGGGCGCTGGTCCGAGGCAGCTGGTAGTGCCTTGCGCTCTTGGCTGTCATCCAGTTGGAGGTGCGGTGATCTGCGATCATGTGGCAGAGGTGCTCGTCGTCGATGTGCTGGTTGTTGTAGGCGGGTTGCTGGAGTCGTTCCTTTAGAGCTGGTCTGATGAAGTCGGGAATGTCGATCCGTTCGATGAGCTCGTTGAGCTCGTCAGAGGTGGTCGGCAATTGCATGCAGAATTCCCTGGTGACGGAGTGGAAGGCCTCCCTGAGGTCCAGGAAGGTGATGCTGCATGATGTTGATCTCCTCTGGCAGTCGCTGATGAAGGCGAGGCTGGTGTGAGCGATGAAATCCGTGGCCATCTTGGGACGGGCGCCGCACTGGGTTGCTTCTAGTAGCTCAGGTCGCAGGCCCTTCACGCGGGAGCGGAGCAAGGCGCTATGCATCTTGCCGATGGCGCTGTTGAGCAGGATGCCGCGGTATGATTCCTGGAAGTCCATGGCCCCCTGTCCCTCGTGGAAATACGTGGAGTACCCACCCTTGGCGGCGATAGGCTCGGCGCTCTCGAAGTGGGTCTTGACTAGGACGGGGCGGGGCAGGCGAGCCATCCCTTCAGGGCTGGCTCTGGACACGTCGTCGGTGAGCTGGTCAGGGCCTCCTCGGCGGCCTCGTCTGGCGGCGGCGAGCTGGCTGGTCAGCTGGTGCTTGGGCATTACGTTTCGGATCTTAGGTCCTGGTCCTGCGTGGCGGGCCCTCTTGTTGTAGTCGGCTGCTACCCCGTCTGCATCCGTGGCAATAGCTTGCTCAACTTTGCCGTAGAAGGCTAGGGCGTGGTCGGCGATCTCGTTCTTCGCGAGGGGCTCCCCGTCGTCGTTGGTGCGGATGATGGGCGTCGGCGGCTTCTTTGACTTTCGTCCTCCGAAGGCCAGTAGTCGCTTGGCGTACAGGGCCTCTAAACGGGGGGGGGTCGTCGATCGCTGCACCCATCTCGTCGGCGGTTATCTCAAGGAAGTCGTTGCGGTCTGTCGTGATCCACTTCTGTAGGGTCGACTTAGACGTCCTGAGGAATTGGAGAAGGGCGTCAAAGTAGTGCTGGGCGCTGTGCGCGGCGTTGGCATCGTCGGGTTCCACGTCATGGGAAGCAAGGCTGGGAGTGCTGAGTATGATAAAGGTCACCACAAGTTTGACGTAGTCGCTGAGATCGGCCAGGGCACTCGCATCTGCGGGGTCGGGCAGGAGGGCTTCCCTCACGATAATATTTGCCGTGTAGCGTAGCCTCTTGTCACCGAAGTGGCTGGCGATCCTGTTTTTCTTGGCGATCCGTGTCGTCTTGAGTATCGAGCGGCGAACTCGCAGGAGAGCGAAGGACCGCCTGGTGAGGTAGGGCTTGTGCGGGGCGCGGCTGTTGGAGCGGAAGCACTCGTACGCGGCCTCCGTGATCTTCTCAGTGACTATGGTGAGGTGCTCGTTGAGGTTGGTGTCCCAGGGCGGGTGTTTGACCTCGTCGAGTTTCTGGCAAAACTTTTTGCGGCACCCTTCGTCGGCTAGCTTGCTCTCGTCTAACTTCGGGATTTCTTTGGTGACGGACGAGATGATCTGGTAGGCAAGCTGCACCTTGACTGGTCAATGGTCGTCCTTGGTTTCTGGGTCTTGGCCGCTGTCTATGCCGTAGAGCACGGCGCACTTTTCGATGGAGTCGATGTAGCCCTTGGGGATGATGACGTAGTCGATGCGATGAGGGTCTTTGCCCGAGTGCCAGGTATGATGCTCTGGTCCATGGCTGACGAAGGTGTTGGCGGCCGCCAGGTGGTTGGTCAGGAGCAGCTCATGTAGACGGTGTCCGTTTGGGTCCTCGTTTTACTTGAAGCCCTTGTCGCCGATGGCCGTGCTGGTGATGTTGCCTGTCCTGGCATTTGCGTCAAAAAAAATGATGCTGACTTGGTGCTTGTCGGTATTCTCCGCGAGCTTCTTCCAGTAGCTATCCTTCTCGTTCGCGGGGGCCTTCGAGTGCGTGGCGTGGGCGACGGCAAGCACGTGGTTGAAGTCAGGGGCGGCAACGCGAACGATAAGGAGCCTGGGGTCCTTGACGATGACTGTGGACTGGTCAGGTTTGAAGAAGAGTTCCTTTTTGCCGCTCTTGCCGTAGGGTTTGCCTCCTCCTCTTCCTCCTCCTCCTCCTCCTCCTCCTCCTCCTCCTCCTTCCTCCTCCTCCTCCTCCTCCTCCTCCTCCTCCTCCTCCTCCTCCTCCTCCTCCCCTCCACCTCCTCCGCCCCGACCTCCAACCCCTCGCCCTGCGGCCGACGTGTGCCAGGGGGGGGGGCGCCTCCTCTTGCCCTTGGGCCTGAAGAACGCGCCCAGGACGCCGCCCGAGACCTCCGCCCGGGCGCTGCCCGCGGGCACCCCGCCCGTCCCCGCGGCCCGCTCCTGGAGAGCAGTCGGAGGCCCCCCGAAGACGACGACGACGACGACGACGACGACGACGACGACGACGACGGCGACGACGACGACGACGACGGCGGCGGCGGCTGCGGCGGCGACGACGACGACGACGACGACGACGCCGATGCGGGGGGCCGCGCGTGCGCGCGAGCCGCCCGGTGCTTCTCGCGCAGTGCGGTCGGGAGACTGCTGCTCGGCGTGCCGTGGCGGCGGCCCCCGCGGCACGCCATGCCTTTGCAGGCCGACGGCCTGTCGCTCCGCTCCGCGGGGCAGGACGCGGGGAAGAGCTCGGGCGGCCGATGCTCGGGGATTGGGGCGTGCTTGGCGCGCCGCGCCGAGGCGTCGCGGGCCAGAGCCGGCGGGCGGCGCGATGCGCCAGGCAAAACATCCTGACCGCACCAGGTGCCTGGCCTCGGGGGAGGGGCCTCCAACCCGTGCCGAAACTCGGCACGTCTTCGGCAGCAGCACGCTGGTGGAGTCGCCTGGCTGGCGTGTCACTGCCATCTGCTGGCCAGCGTGGACCCCAATCAGTGAAGCGTCGCACTCTTGATTTGTGGTGCAAGCTGTGTGGAGCAACCTGCGTGGTGCAACTAATCTTCGAGGAACTTGGAGTCGTCAACGTCAATGCTTGAGCAAACGTCCTTCCTTGTCAGACGCAATGCGTTAGCAAAACTCAACGAGCGTAATGACACGCGGCCCCCTCTCATGCAGGTGATTGGCTCGGGCAGGTTTGCAATGATGGTGGTGGTGGTGAAAGCGGTGGTAATTCTCAAAATAGGCTTGCCCTATAGGAGTCCTAGCTCAAACCCTACTAATTGGTCCGTTGCCCCCCCCTAATTCCGATGCCCCCCCCAATTCCTATGGTTATGCTTATGCCTATGCCTATAGCTATGCCTATGCCTACGCCTATGCCTATGCCTACGCCTATGCCTATGCCTATGCCTATGCCTAGGCCTATCCCCACCCCCTGTTTCCAATGGCACCCCCCCTTGCTTGCTTGCGCGCTTGCTTGCACGCTTGCTTGCTTGCGCGCTTGCTTGCACGCTTGCTTGCTTGCTGAGTTGCGGGTTCCAAGCATGCTCGAATCCTCTGATTCCTTGATTTGAGTTGTCAAATCTATTTGGAGTCAACGCTGGCTGAAATGATGGTGATGATAATGGTGATGGTGGTGGTGATAGTGATGATGATGATGATGATGATGATGATGATGATGATGATGATGATGATGGTAAAGGTGAGGGTGATGATGATGATGATAATGATGGTGATAATGATGGTGATGGTAATGCTGATGTTGGTGATGATAGTGATGGTGATGGTGATGGTGATGGTGATGGTGATGGTGATGGTGATGGTGATGGTGATGGTGATGGTGATGGTGATGGTGATGGTGATGGTGATGGTGAGGATGGTGACTGTGATGGTGAAGACGATGATAACGATAATGATGATGATAATGATGATGATGGTCATGGTGTTCATGATGATGAGAATGATGATCGTGGTGGTGATGATGATGATGATGATGATGGTGATGGTGATGGTGATGGTGATGGTGATGATGACGATGATGGTGATGGTGATGGCGGTGATGGCGGTGATGATGGTGGTGGTGATGGTGATGGTGATGGTGATGGTGATGGTGGTAATGGGGATGGTGATAGTGAGGGTATTGATGATGATTATGATGATGATGGGCATAGAGGGGGACATGGTGACAATGCTGATGGTGATGGTGATGGTGATGGTGATGATGGTGAGTGTGATGGTGATGGTGGTGATGGTGACCTTGATGGTGGAGACGATGATGATGATATTGATGGCGATGATGACGATGATGATGACGATGATGATAATGATGATGATAGTGGTGGTGGTGATGATGATGATGATGCTGATGGTGGTGGTGGCGATGGTGATTGTGATGGTGATGATGCTGGTGATGATGGTGGTGATGGTGGTGGTGATGGTGATGGTGATGATGGTGACGGTGGTGGTGATGACGATGGTGATGATGGCGGCGATGATGATGATGCTGATGATGATGATGGTGACGGTAAGGACGATGACGATGGTGATGATGATGATGATAATGATCGTGTTGGTGTTGATATTGGTGTGGGTGTGGGTAGAGGTGGTGATGACGATGATGATGTTGATGATGATGCTGGTTGTGATGATGATGGTGATGATGACGGTGGTGATAATGATGATGATGGTGGTGGTGATGATGATGATGCTGCTGATGGTGATGGCGATCGCGATGGTGACGAAGGTGAATGACTCTGTAGATGACGATGACTATGCTGATGCCGACGGTGAGGAATTCATACATGGCCACATTGACAGGCTGACCCCTCACACTTAGATACGCTCACTCCTTCACACCCAGCTCACACGCACAAATTCGCGAACGTTCAGACACACTCGCACTCGATTCATTCAGCCGCAATTTCGGGTCATGCTGACTCGGGCCCCCTGCGGCCATTCGGGGCGATCCGGGTACCCCTGAAGGCTCCCGACGAGGCGCGGCTGCGCAGCTGCTGGGGAGCACCCCGAGGCGAGAAGACTTCCAAGCGCCAACGAGAACACCCGAAAGCCCCGAGGACCAAACCACTGAGAGAGCGTCTGCTAAAAGGTAACAAAAATCTTCAATAACCAACGAAAACGTCCCCGCTCCCCCCTGGGGGGGCGTCCAGAAGGAGGCTCGCAAGCCGTCGTCCGAGGCATGTGCTCGGTCGAAGGGGAGGGACCAGAGGACGCATTGAGAGTATAAGAAGACGGGGAAGAATAAGAAGATGAAGATGGATTAGAATAATAAGAAGAAGAAGAAAAAGAAGAAGAAGAAGAAGAAGAAGTAGAAGAAGAAGAGGGGGGACATGACATCTGGGCCGATTTGCTCATCCTGTCGTTGCCGCTGCAGCTGCACGTCAGGTTCCCCCACAGGAGACCACAGCACAGGGGAATCAGGAGCCCACGAGGAGGAGAAATCCGCCGAGCCCCGCTCGCCGGGGGGTGAAGAGGCGTGTGCGATGATCCTCCTCCCCCCCTCCTCCTCCTCCTCTTCCTCCTCCTCCTCCTTCCCCTCCTCCTTCCACTCCTCCTCCTCCTCCTCCTCTTCCTCCTCCTCCTCCTTCCCCTCCTCCTTCCCTCCTCCTCCTCCTTCCTCCTCTTCCTCCTCCTCCTCCTCCTCCTCCTCCTCCTCCTCCTCCTCCTCCTCTCCTCCTCCTCCTCCTCCTCCTTCCCCTCCCCCTCCCCCCCTCCGCAGTTCCCCCTCCCCTTGGGCCAAAGAATCGCATGTAAGAGGGGGAGGGGCCTTGGCAGGGAAGAGGCTCGAGCTCCCCAGCGCACCCCCCGGGGGGGCTCTCCCCGGAGCCTCCACGGAGAGCCCCAAGACGGCCCAGTGCTCCTCCTCCTCCTCCTCCTCCTCCTCCTCCTCCTCCTCCTCCTCCTCCCCTGCTCCTCCTCCCCCCACTTCTCCTCCTCCTCTCCTCCACCTCCTTCCTCCTCCTCTTCACCCCTCCTCTCCTCCTCCTCCTCCCCCTCCTCCTCCTCCTCCTCCTCCTCCTCCTCCTCCTCCTCCTCCTCCTCCTCCGCGCCGAGACAAGACAATCCAAAAGAGCGTCGGGACGGTCCAGGTTCACCTCGCGAGGGTCCAAGCTGGCTTCAAGGCGGCGAGTGCTCCCAGAGGACCGCCGAGAGGGCCCCCAGAGGGGCAAAACTCGCCCCAACTCCTTTGTAGGAAAACGTAAAATTTCGACATACACACGCCTTTCGTCTTAATAGCGTCCACTACGGCCCAACGAGCCCCCAAGATCGTCCCACGACGGCCCATGAGGGCCCCAAGACGGCCCAAGGGGGCACCACGACGGCCCCAGGGGCCCCTAAGACGGCCAAGGAGGGCCTCAAGAGGAGCCAGAGAGGGGGGGGCAAAACGAACTGAGTCTTTCCCGCCGCGATTGACCCGAGAGCCCCCTAGGGACCCCCGAAGCACTCCCTAGAGGCCCCAAGAGGCTTCCAAGAGCGAGAGACCCCCACGAGGCCCCCGAGAGGCTCCAAAAAAAAACAATCTCATGCCCCCGACAGCCCTCCAAAAGGGGTCCCCGAGAGGCATTCCAGAAGACCCCCGTAATCATGCATCCCCGAGGCTCCTGACCCACAGGCCAGGCACGATGCCACGACTCTTGGCGCGAAGTCACTGCTTATGGAGGTCGGCTGCATGGCGTAAAACCTCTTGAAAGAAGGAGGCCGTGAAGAGGGGGCCGACCCTGAAACGTCTGGACGCTACGGGTTGGGGTCGTATATTTGTGCAGGTGGCATGTGTGTGTTTATTGTTTTCTTTCTCCCTTTCTCTCCCCCTCCCTCCATCCTCATCATCAACATCATCATTCACACCCTCACCCCCCTCCTCGCCCTCCTAGTTGTCGTCGTCATCATCATCCCTCCTCATCATCACCACCACCACCATTATCAGCATCATCATCATCATCATCATCATCATCGTCATCATCATCATCATCATCATCATCATCATCATCATCATCATCATCATCATCATCATCATCATCATCATCATCATCATCATCATCAGCATCATCATCGTCGTCATCATCATCATCAGTATCATCATTATCAGCAGCAGCAGCACCAGCATCATCATCGTCCTCCTCCTCCTCCTCATCCTCATCCTCATCATCATCATCATCGTCATCATCAGCATCATCATCATCATCATCATCAGCATCATCATCGTCATCATCTGTCCTGGTCCTTATCCTGCTCATCCTCCTCCTCCTCATCATCATCATCAGGGCCGCGCCATGCGTTTTCTGTCAACATGCATTCGCCACCTGGTTGATGGTGCTGACGATGATGACGAGGAGGATGGGTATGAGGGATGATGATGACGATGATGATGCTGATGATGATGAGGATGGATGCTGATGATGATGATGATGATGGTGGTGATGATGAGGGGCGGTTATGAGGAAGAAGAGGAGGGATGACGATGATGAGAAGGAGGAGGACAGCGAAGAAGAAAAACGGGGGCAGGAGGGGAAAGAGGAGGATGAGAAGGGAATGGAGGAGGGCTAACTTCCCCTCTGGTCCAACCGGCTGCTTTCCTCCTCATCATCACCACCATCATCATCATCAGCATCAGCATCAGCATCAGCATCAGCATCAGCAACATCATCCACCCTCCTCCTCCTCATCATCATCAGCATCATCGTCATCATCATCCCTCCTCCCCATCCTCCTCGTCATCATCGTCAGCACCATCATCCCTCATCATCCTCGTCCTCATCATATCAATCCGCCTCGTCCGCCTCCTAATCCTCCTAATCATCATTATCGTCATCATCATCAGCATCAGCATCAGCATCAGCATCATCATCATCATCATCATCATCAGCATCATCATCATCATCATCATGATCATCACCGTCATCATCACCATCTCTTCATTGTCGTCCTCGTCCACTCCTCCCCCTCCTCCTCCTCCTCATCATCATCATCTCCCTTCTCACCCGTGCAACCATAACAATCCACACAATCAAGAACACTAAGAAACTAATATAATCAAAGAGAGAGACAGAAAGACAGAGAGACAGGAGGAGGAAGAGGAGGACGTGCAGGAGGTGGAGGAGGAGGAGGTGGAGGGAGGGGAAGGAGGAGGAGGAGGAGAAGTGGTCCTTCGCGTGAGTTTTTCTTTTCTGCCATGTGAACCAAACAACATTTTGTTTGACAAAGAACTGTTTGAAAAATGGTGCTCGGGAATTCAGGTTGCCTGGGCAGAACTGGCCTGCAGGGGCTCGGAAGTCCGATGTCCTGAAAACCATTGATGTGTGGTTGTTTAGGAACACTCACAGGTTTTATTGGTTTGTGGTGGTTTGTGTTTTGTGTGCTGTAAACCCTCACAGGGTTCGTGGACCCAAGACGTGTTCTTATTGCTTTTGAGTGCCTGGAATTATTACCGATGATCATTGTATGTATCTCTTGTTGGATTTGATGTTATGGATTTATATGTGGTTTCGATTGTATGGATGTCTTTTTGTTTTTGATTGTGTGGATTTCTGATTGTTCTTGATTGAATTAATTTCTCATTGTGTTCGAGTGCATGGATTTCTTAGTGTTTGATTGTGTGGTTTTCTTGTTGGTGTGATTGTGTGGTTTTCTTATTGTTTTGAGTGTACGTTTGTCTTACTGTTATGATTGCGCGGAGGAGAAGGGTGCTGGGGAGGAGGACAGGGATGAGGACTAGAATGAACATGAGGAGGAACAGGATGATGATGCTGGTCACGATGGTGATGATGGTGATGATGATGATGGTGAGGATGATGAGAAACACCCCACGCCACGTGAGATTTAAGACTATGTGGCGTGGGGTGTTTCTCATCATCCTCATCATTATCATCATCACCATCATCATCATCATCATCATCATCATCATCATCACCATCATCATCGTCACCAGCACCATCACCATCATGTTCATTCTAGTCCTCATCACTTTCGTCCTCCCAAGCACCTTCTCCTCCGCGCAATCATAACACCCCACGCCACGCGAGAAAACCACACAATCACACCAACAAGAAAACCGCACAAAACACACTAACAAATCCATGCACTCGAAAACAATAAGAAATTCATACAATCAAAAACAATCAGAAATCCATACAACCAAAAATAACAAGAAATCCATACAGTGGAAAAAAGAAAATCCATACAATCAAATCCAACAAGAAATACATACAATGAAAATCAATAAGACATCCAGACACACAAAAAAAGAAGTCAGTACAACGAAAAACAAACAGAAATCAATACCATCAAAAACATTAAGAAATACATACAATCAGAAACAAACAGAAATCCAGACCATCAAAAACAATCAGAAAACGTCTTGGGTCCATAAACCCTGTGAGGGTTCCCCCCCAAGAAAAAACTGTGCAGGGTTCGAAAAATGAAAAATCAATGATTTTCGGGACTTCAAGCTGCCTGGGCGGATCTGGGCTCGAGGGGCCCGGAGGAAGTCCGAGGTCCCGAAAACCATTGATGTGGGTGTTTTGGGAACCTTTACAGGTTTGGGTTTTTTTTTTTCTCAGGCTTCTTGTTTTGGCTTGTCTGAATTTCTAGTTGTGTTTGATTGTATGGAATTCTTATTGAATTTGATTGTATAGATTTCTTATTGTTTTTGACTGCATGGATTTCTGATTGCTTTTGATCTTGTGGACTTCACATTGGCTTCGATTGTACGGATTTATTATTGCTTTTGATTGTACCCTCATTGTTTTGACTGCGCGGAGGAGAGGGGCGATGAGGAGGAGGAAGATGAAGACGAGACGATGATGATGATGCTGCTGATGATGATGATGCTGATGATTATGCTGATGATGATTATGATGATGATTATGATCATGATTATGACTATGATTATGATTATGATTATATGATTATGATTATGATTATGATTATGATTATGATTATGATGATGCTGATGATGATGCTGATGATGATGATGAATATGATTATGAGTATGTTTATGATGATGATGCTGATGATGATGATAATGATGATGATGGTGATGATGATGATGATGATGATGATGATGATGATGATGATGATGATGATGATGATGGTGATGATGATGATGGTGATGATGGGTCTCAAATCTCACCCTTACACACAAGCCACCTACACAAAAATACCACCCTTACGGACGCTGCCCCCCCCCGGGGACGCGCCAGCCCGTTAATTACTGCTTCAGCCCAGACCTGGGTCGGCCAGGGCACTGTCGCGAAGCCTGGCCGGCCACGAAGCAGCTTCCAAACCCGGGGAATCGGCCCCACGTGTAGGCAACCACGCGTGAACCCCACCCCTGCAGGTCAGACTCCTGAAAAAAAGACCCGGCTGGGGCTCAGCATTCCAAGGATGTCTGCAGCCAAGTGCACCCCCGCGGGGGTGCCCGAGAACTACCCCAGCGTCGACTGGACCCGCAGGGGCAGGGTTGGCAAGTGGTCGCAGAGCGGGGCTCCAGAGCCGGCGGCAACCAAAGGGGAAGGGGGAAGTGGCTGACCCCCGCTGGCGCCGGCCCCCGTGGCGTGAGCCCCCCAACGCCCCCCCCCAAGCGGTGGCAGGCCCGGGCCTGCCTGCTCCGCGCAGCTGCCCTCGCTGCTGGCCCCCGGCGTGCTCGTCGGAGCTTTCTCGGCCCCGGCGGTGGCGGGCGCCTCCTGCGGCAGCTCCTCCGCCCTCTGCTCGCCCTGCTCCTCCTCCTGCGGAGAAAGATGCTGGCAGGGAGCTCCTGGGAGGTCTTCGCCAGAACGATCATCAAAAGCTACCGGGCCCCCCGATCGAAGGGCCACCGAGCCAGACATCAAGCCGGAGCAGTCCTGGGGCTGAGCCGGAGCGAGCGGGACGCAGCCAGATCAGGCCAGTGCTCGGCCAGGGATCTGCCAGAGCCTCCTCTGAGTCTTGGACCTCCCAGGAGCTGCATCCTGAACGGCGGGCCCAGATCTCTGGCGGCACGAACTCTTCCGTCCAGGCGCTCTTCCTCGATGTTCCCCCCATCTCAGGGGCGCGCGGCGAAGCCCCGAAACCATCAAAACAAACCTGAATGTGGCCCCAAGAGGAACCCAAGAGAGGCCCAAGAGCTGAAACCCGCACAGCATGCGCGGGCAAGTCCAACATGCAACACCGAATTCCGCAATCTCATCTCTCCTGCTGGATACTTCTCCTTCTCGCATGAGGTGCCGACACTGCTTCAAGACGGCGCCCAGACCTCACGACGTAACTCTTGCATGATCCATTATCCGAAAGAGGTGGCCGGCGGCAGGGGGCGAAGCCCCTACGGATGATAACTTTTCAGCTCAGGCGCTCTTCCTCGACTCCACCCTCAAGGGCGCGCGGCCAGGCCACGAAACCATTGATTATCCTGGCGAAGGGCCCAACCATCTGCAACTGGGGGTACCACATTATGAATACAGCTGTCGGTGGAGCTCCCTGTGGGGCCGCGAAACGTGTGAGGGGTGTGTCGGCATGGGGCAGGGCCTCCATGCGAACCCTGCCACTGGAGCCTTCGGTGGAGCTCCCTATGGGGCCACGAAACGTGTGAGGGGTGTGCCGAAATGGAGCAGGTCCTCCATACGAACCCTGCCACTGGGGCCTCGGTGGAGCTCCCTATGGGGCCACGAGACGTGTGAGGGGTGTGTCGAAAGGGGGCGGGGCTGCCATGCGAACCCTGCCATTGGGACCTTCGGTGGAGCTCCCTATTGGGCGACGAAACGTGTGAGGAATGTGCCGACATGGAGCGGGGCCCACATGCGAACGCAGCCACTGGGGCCTTCGGTGGAGCTCCCTATGGGGCCACGAAACGTGTGAGGGGTGTGCCAAAATGGGGCAGGGCCTCCATGCGAACCCTGCAACTGGGGCCTTCGGTGAAGCTCCCTAGTTATGGGGCCACGAAACGTGTGAGGGGTGTGCGGAAATGGGGCGGGGCCGCCATGCGAACCCTGCCACTGGGACATTGGGTGGAGCTCCCTATGAGGCCACGAAACGTGCGAGGGGTGTGTCGAAATGAGGCGGGGCCGCCATGCGAACCCTGCCACTGGGACCTTCGGTGGAGCTACCTATGGGGCCACGAAACGTGTGAGGGGTGTGCCAAAATGGGGCAGGGCCGCCATGGGAACTCTGCCACTGGGGCCTTCGGTGGAGCCATCCATGGGGCGACGAAACGTGTGAGGAGTGTGCCGAAAGGGGGCGGGGCCGCCATGCAAACCCTGCCACTGGTGCCTTCGGTGGAGCTACCTATGGGGCCACGAAACGTGTGAGGGGTGTGCCAAAATGGGGCAGGGCCTCCATGCGAACCCTGCCACTGGGGCCTTCGGTGGAGCTCCCTATGGGGCCACGAGACGTGTGAGGGGTGCGCCGAAATGTCGCGGGACCGCCATGCGAACTCTGCCACTGGGGCCGTCGGTGGAGCTCCCTATGGGGCTACGAAACGTGTGAGGAGTGTGCCGAAAGGGGGCGGGGCCGCCATGCGAACCCTGCCATTATGAACCTTCGGTGGAGCTCCCTATGGGGCCACGAAACGTGTGAGGGGTGTGTCGAAAGGGGGCGGGGCTGCCATGCGAACCCTGCCATTATGAACCTTCGGTGGAGCTCCCTATGGGGCCACGAAACGTGTGAGGGGTGTGTCGAAAGTGGGCGGGGCTGCCATGCGAACCCTGCCATTGGGACCTTCGGTGGAGCTCCCTATGGGGCGACGAAACGTGTGAGGAATGTGCCGACATGGGGCGGGGCCGCCATGCGAACCCTGCCACTGGGACCCTCGGTGGAGCTCCCTATGAGGCCACAAAACGTGTGAGGGGTGTCGAACTGAGGCGGGGCCTTCGGTGGAGCCCCCGATGGGGCGACGAAACGTGTGAGGGGTGTGCCGACATGGGGCGGGGCTGGCCCCCAAGACCCCCAACTGGTTCCAGGAGGCCCCCAAAAATCGCACAAGAGGGGGGAAGGGGCCGCGGGAGAGGGGTTCGAGCTCCCCAACGCACGCCAGGGGCTCTCTGGAGCCTCCACGGAGCCCCAAGACGGCCCAATGAGCGCCGAGACAAGACAATCCAAACGAGCGTCGAGACGGTCCAGGGCAACATCGCGACGGCCCCAGATGGCTTCAAGACGGCGAGTGCTCCCAGAGGATCGCCGAGAAGGTCCCAAGAGGCAAAACTCACCCGAATTCCTTGAAGAAAAAATGCACTTTCGACATACACACGCCTTTCGTCTGAATAGCGTCCACGGAGCCCCAAAGATCGTCCCAAGACGGCCCATGAGGCACCCAAGAGGGCTCCAAGATGGCCCAAGAGGGCACCAAGACGGCCCCAGGGGCCCCTAAGACGGCCAGGGAGGGCCTCAAGAGGAGCCCGAGAGGGGCAAAACGAACTGAGTCTTTCCCACCGTGAGTGCCCCGAGGGACCCCCGAAGCGCTCCCTCGGGGCCCCAAGAGGCTTCCGAGGGGCACCCGGGAGGCGCCCACGAGGCCCCCGAGAGGCCCCGAAAAGCCAATGTCATGCCCCCGAGAGCCCTCCAAAGGAGGTCCCCGAGAGGCGCTCCAGAAGACCCCCGTGACCATGCAGCCCCGAGGCTCCTGACCCACAGGCCAGGCACGGTGCCGCGACTCGTGGCGCGAAGTCGCTGCTCATGGAGGTCGGCTGCAGGTGAAAAGAGGTGGCCATGGAATCGGGGGCGATACATACCACCATCGCTGACCAGCATGCAAAGGGCTTCCATATCTTTTCTGACTACCTACCAGACCACCCCAACCCAACCCGAAGACCCGAATTTCGGGTTGGGGGGGGTAAGGGTTCCACATGTGTTTTTTCGATGTTTCCCGACCCCCCCCCACTGAAAATCGAGGGTAAATCTGAGCCTTCGGGTTGGGTTGGGGTGGTTTGGTGGATCGTGATCTTCCGACGCAGGGAAGACACATCGTGGCCCTGGCAGTGATCTCCGCACCCCTCTCCAGCCGTCGCCCCCCCTCGTGGCCGCCCCTGGCCACTCCTGTCAGGGGGACGTAAGACCTGGGTACAGGGGACTCGGAAATCCCCGACGAGGTCGTCAAAAGAATGACGAGGCCGAACCTGCATTCTGACGAGGCCTCCCGCTGCAGACATCCCACGAAACTAAACTCCTCCTCGCCAAAATCCGAGGCGCGGTCGTCAGACAACGATGGCGAACCCGAGTCCTGGCAAACCCGGGTCTTACGTTCCCCCGATCCTGGGCGCTGCCCCCCCCCCCCCGGGGGGGACGCGCCGGCCCGTCAGGTACCGCGCCGGCCCAGGCCATCGGCCGGCCAGGGCACCCTCGCGACGCCCGGGGCCAACCCGGGGGGGATCGGCCCCACGTGTAGGCAACGGGCGTTGACCTAAGGCACCCCAAATAAGAAACGAGGCCCCTTTTGTTCCATAAGTTGAACGTCGATGTCCGATCGAAAACGTAAGGAAAACCTGAGGCAAGCTGCGAAACACTTAAGGAACGCGGGGCCCCTCCCAAACCAAAAGGGTTCCTTCTTCAGGGCCCCGAGTGTAGGCAACCACGCGTGAACCCCACCCCTGCAGGCCAGACTCGGACGCCTGCTTTTTTTGTTTTCTGAGCTCGGCGGCGGGAGTGTCTCCGCCGCCCCCCAGGGCGCCTGGGTCAGGGGCAGTCGCTCGCAGGCGGGCCTGGGTTTCGAGCCAAGAGTTTCACCATGAGGCTTCTTTTCCTCTTCTGCAGACGCGCCGTCTAGGCGCGCCTTCTGCCTGAACACCAAAAAAAACGGCTGGGAATCAGCATTCCAAGGATGTCTGCAGCAAGTGCACCCCCGCGGGGGTGCCCGAGAACTACCCCAGCGTCGACTGGCAGGTGCGGAGGGTGAGGCAAGATGTCGGTGCGAAGCACGGTCTTACACCCCACCAGAGCACACCTTAGGCCTCACCAGAAACGGCGGCGAGAAAATGATCGTGATGTGGACGAAGGACCACGAACTTGTATTCGAGAATGCGCTGGGCCAGCTGGCGCCGCCGCCTGGTGGCAGCAGCGTGAACGTCCCTGGACACGCCAGCGGGGACGTCCCACGCTGCGCGGATCCACCCATTCAGCAGAAGGGCTGAACGCTCAGGGGCAGGGTTGGCAAGTGGTCGCAGAGCGGGGCTCCCAAGCCGGGGGCAACCAGAGGGGAAGGGGGAAGTGGCTGACCCCCGCTGGCGCCGGCCCCCGTCGCGTGAGCCCCCCAACGCCCCCCCCCCCCCCCCCCAAGCGGTGGCAGGCCCGGGCCTGCCTGCTCCGCGCAGCTGCCCTCGCTGCTGGCCCCCGGCGTGCTCGTCGGAGCCTTCTCGGCCCCGGCGGTGGCGGGCGCCTCCTGCGGCAGCTCCTCCGCCCTCTGCTCGCCCTGCCCCTCCTCCTGCGGAGAACGGTGCTGGCAGGGAGCTCCTGGGAGGTCTTCGCCAGAACGATCATCGAGGGCTACTGGGCCCCCCGATCGAAGGGCCACTGAGCCAGACATCAAGCCGGAGCAGTCCTGGGGCTGGGCCGGAGCGAGCGGGACGAAGCCAGATCAGGCCAGTGCTCGGCCAGGGATCTGCCAGAGCCTCCTCTGAGTCTTGGACCTCCCAGGAGCTGCACCCTGAGCGGCGGGCCCAGAACTCTGGCGGCACGAGCTCTTCCGTCCAGGCGCTCTTCCTCGGTGTCCCCCCCTCTCAGGGGCGCGCGGCGCGGCCCCGAGACCATCACAAATGGAGTAGGGGGCCACGTGCGAACCCTCCCCCTCAGAGATCGCGGGGGGCAGGGGCAGGGTTCGCATGTGGCCCCGTATGGACAAGAGACGTAAATCGACCCCCCAGGCGCGGGTCTCTGGAGCCACGACGCTGCAGGACTCCGCCGATCCCCCGCTCGCTGAGGGCGACGAAAAGCGCGAGAGACGTGCGGCTGCCCCCCCATCCCCCCTGCATCCCCATCCCCCCGGGTCCAAGACTGCGTCCGAGGGGCCTTCGGAGCCTGCAAGTCCGCCCTCCGCGGCCGCCGAGATCCCCGGCAGCTCCAAAGCAGCTCCAAAATACGTCGGAGAGGCCCCAAGAGCACCCAAGGTAGTCTCGAGACGGCTGCAGACGCCGAAGGAGAACCCCAAGAGAGTACCCCAGAGGGCCTCGAAAAACAAAAAAGCATTGATTCCCCGTAGGTTTTTGCATCAATTTCGCGTTCTCGGCACCCTGGCGTCTGCACCCTCAAGGCGGCCCAAAAGCCCCCCAGACTGGCCAAAATCAGCCCAAGAGACCTTCAAAACGACACGGAGAAGGCAAAGGAGGGTCCCAAGACGGCCCAATAGGCCCCCAAGATGGCAAAACAAATGTGACTGTGGCCTCAAGAGAAGCTCAAACAAGGCCCGAGATGGGGAACCCGCAGAGCTCCTAATAGCCCTCCTCCAGAAGATAGCTCCCAAGACTCCCAACTGGCTCCAAGAGGCCCCCGCCTCCTGATTCGCCAGCAGGCCCCACAAATGCCCCCCATAAGCTCCAGGAGGCTTCAAAGATGCTCTAATGAGACCCCCCAAGGCTCCGGAGAATTCCCAAAGACACCCCCCAGCTGCGCTGAGGGGGCCTCAAACAGAGCCCAGACAACATTACAAACCGCCCCGTTGTCTTCGATACCTCCTCCTTTTCCTCCTTCCTCTCACCGTCGCCATTAACTATGTAATCCGTTTCTACTTCTCCCTCATTATCCGAATCCCAAGGTGAGAAAGTCAGATCGACCATCCCCGACGTCACTCAAAGGAGCATCTCGCTTCATGCGCGACGCGCAACATATCTCAGCGTTCCCTCCCGAGAACCGCAGGATAGGCGGCCACTCCTCCCGAGCACCTGGACTCTCGCAGGCACCCCATGCGCGCGACGGCGTCCAAGAAACAGCCAACAAGCGCCCAGGAAACTCCGACGAGGCTCCAAGACGCCCAACAAGGCGCCCACGAGGCCTCACCTCGTCTGGGGGTCGGCGGCGTGGCGCAGGCCTCCTGCATCCGATCGGGAGACAGCTGGGGGCGGGCTGGCTCATTGGGGAGAGACTGACCTGGAGTCGGCAGCACGTCTCGGCGGCGAGCGAGGGGGGGGGAAGTGAGAAGGAGACGGCCTTCTCAGAAGGCGGAGGGACTTCTCAGAAGTCCCCCCAAGCCTTCGGAGGAGTTGCAGGCGTCTTCGGGGAAGGCTCGGAAAACTCCTCAGAAGGCCGGGGGGCTTCCGAGCCTTCTGAGAAGGCCCGCCCCTCTTCATTTCCCCCCTCCCCCGGGCTCGCCGCCGAATGTGGTCTTCGGGTCATAACTCGGCTCTCCGGCGGCCGGCGGGACGCTCCGGGCACCCCCAGAACGCTCTCAGCGAGGGGCACCTGTTGGACCGCATCCCGAGGCTGGGAGCCCGCGAAGAGCCGACGAACGCGCCGGAGCTCCGCCCCCTCTCATGCCCCCCCCCCTCGCCCAGTGCCCGGAAAAGTGTCAAAGGAGTGTCGAAACGGTGTCGGGCGAGTGTCTCCCCAGGGCCCGACGCGTGAAAACGCTCGAGTTTCGGCACTAGTTTGGGCGCTCGACAGTCTTCCTGGCGATCAAAGCCAAAATAGGCTGGAACACCATGAGCCCCGTGCTGGCCGTGGGGCTTCTCCCACGGCCAGGAGTTCCGTGCTCGGGAGCGGCCAAGAGGGGGGTGTCCAAGAGGGGGGGGTGCAGATCATGACCGGCGGCATGTGCGCGGCCCAGCGGGGGGGCCAGGGACGTAATGAAGTAGGAAGAGGCGCCATGAGATCTGGGGAAATATCATGGCCCCCGCCATGAGATCCACCCCCCCTAGTCATCACCCCCCTCTTTGCCGCCCCCGAAGAGAGCTCCGTGCGCCCTCGGAGGGACTGCCCTGCCTCGCCGCCGGGACCCCGGAGCCCGCAGCACCTCGCGCCGGCGGATCGGCGACGGGCCCTCGAGCGCGGAGCCGCGCGCGGTGGTGAGAGCAGGGCTGCACCTGAACTTAAGTCGGGCGTGTCCCCCTACAGGGGGGTTTTCGACGAAAAAGAAAAAATACCCCAAAAATACCCCAATATAGTTTGGGACTATGTTTTGACTATTTTGGGGGTATGTTTTATTTTTCGTCCAAAATCCCCTGTAGGGGGACACGCCCGATATAAACCTAAACGGTGTTCTTCGTTTTCGTTTTGTGTTCGTTTCCCCTCACATGTGTCTCCAGTCCGCCGTTGCTGCAAGACGGAGTCGAAAACGAAAAAGGCCCACGAAATCACCAAGAACAAAAAAAATCGTTTAGGTCCAGCCCTGGGTGAGAGCAGGCTTGGGGCACCCGGGCTCCGCTCGGCGACGAGCGGGCGATCGGGGCCGGTGCTTTCCACCCCACTGCGGGCAGGATCTATATCCATACCCATCGGTCGGAAGAAGTAGGTAGAAACATGACGTAGGAAGGCGTTGGAAATAGATTGGGCTTCCGCCCTCCTCCTGAAGAGGAGGGAGGAGGGAAAACCACTCGGCTCTTGAGGCAGGAAGGCGCTGAAAGTAGATTGGAATCTGGGAGCCCAAAAAAACCTCCTCTCAACGACCGAGGGGTATCCTCTGCGTCTTTAGAGGTTCTGGGAGGTGGCGGACAAGAGAGGCCGAGGCGCAGCGGGTGTGGACGAGCATCCGTTTGGCCTCTCGGGGCCAGACTGTTTGTATATCTGGGGCTGAGCCTAAACTGTGTTTGTCGTTTTCGTTTTGATACTCCAGATGTCGCAATAAAAGGGAGGGGGTCTGGACCCTCCAAGACAGGCCATCTCAGACCCCCCCCGTGGGAGAACCCTCCAAAACATCGTCCCCAGACCCCCTCAGGCCCTCCAAGATAGCGTGGAAGAGACCCCCCCCGAAATGAGACCCCCTCCCTTTATTACGAAATCTGGAGTAAACTGTGTTTTTCGTTTTCGTTTTGATCTCGTTTTCCCTCGTTTTGTCTTCAATCCGCCTTTACCGCAAAACGAAATCGAAACGAAAACTGCCCACGAAATCGCCAAAATACCGGTTGGGTCCAGCCCTGTTTTTATCCATGTCCACTGCGCCTCTGGTTTCTGGGGAAGGGAGCCCGGAACTCCGAGACGCAACGGACATGGAGACAAACACTGCCCGCACCCATGGGTCACGAACGGCGAACACACAGTCGGACCCGGGCCAGGAGAACACCACTTCAGGAGCATGAGACCCTCCCTCGGCCAAAACAGGCAGAACATCCGAGGGCACATCCTCCCCAGGGATGCGCAAGACCATCCTGCAAGCACGAAGAACACGAGGGTGCCTTCCCCGAACCGACCTCGATCTCATACCTCGCTCCGACTGCATCCGTACCCGCGCCCTCTTTGGACACCCGAAATGGGTACGGAAAAAATGGGTACAATGCCCAACAACAAATGTTGTCCCAAACCAACAGCGGCCGCTGTTGGGCAGGCGGCCTTCTGTCTCGAATGGACACAGGCCGCGGCGGCCCGGACAGCGAGCCCTGTCCAAAATGAACAGGAACTGCTGTTGGGCATCGTACCCATTATTTCAGTACCCATTTCGTGCGTGCAGATATCCATATCCACCGCCCGGGAACCGACGTCCCGGTGCCCCGGCGGGCGGTGGGCAGGGATCCATGTTGGCCCCTGGGGGCCCGAGTGCATCCATAGCCACCGCCCGTCGAGGTCCCTGGAAATGGATCCTCCAGGCGGTGGTCATGTAGAAACTCCCGCCTCGGAACGTTGGCAGCCGCACGCGCAGCAACTTTGGCAGGCCTCTGCGCGGTCTTCCCGGGTCCGCGCCGGGTGCCCGACGAATCCGCGCGCGCTCGTGCTCCGCGCCGGGTGCCCGACGAGTCCGCGCGCGTGCGTGCGCCGATCCTGCTGCTCCTCGACCCGCTCCTCCCCGGAGACCCGGCGACGCGAGGAAAAAATACCACCTCGCGGAAAAGCACGACACTGGAGGAGCCTCGGGCCCGATCTTTCCTGCGCCGCGGCTCCAGCTGGGGCCCGAATCCTGGCGAGAGAGCCCGGTGTGAAGCAACTGCGACGCCAGGATCTTAGGGGCAACGGGGGGGGGGGGGCCAGCTCAGGGGGGAACCCATCGATAGGGGAACAAAAAGCGACATAAACATAAAAACTCGGAGGTCCGCGCGGACTTCTAGGGAGGGGGGTCCAGCGCCGATCCGAGAAATCCGCGCGGACCTCCGAGCTTTTATGTTTGTGCCACTTTTTGATCCCCTAATCGAGCTTGAATCGGAGGTACATCGCCGACAAGCCGGCGACGGGTCCCCGAAGTCCAACGCTCCTGGGCGGAGCGGGCTGGAGCGGGCTATCCCGGCTCTATCCGCGACGAATGGGGCGACTGGGGGCCGATGCACCCCCCCCCTTGAGCCTGTCCTTGTGGATGCCACGACAACGGGCACCCTAACAGTCGCATCCTTGAGTTTTAACATGTGTGTAAAAGGTGGGAAAGATGCCATAACCATGGTTTAAACATGTGTTTTTGCATAGTTGAAGCATGTTCAACACATGTTGTAGACATCTGGAAATTACTTGGCAGCACGCTTCCTCTCCATTGATCGCCCTCCACAAGCCCATCCCCCGAGGATCTCCGGGTCCTCCTCCCTCTCCGCCCCTCGGAAGCCAGGCAAGGGCTGCTGAGTCCGTGGCTGCTAAAATCGACCTCCGGGAAGATGTCGTCCTTCCGGGAAGAAACCCGTTGACTGTCTCGCGTGCCGCGCCTCATTCCGGGAAGCTGTTTTTTCCTTCCGGGAGGGCCGTTTTAGCAGCCACGGTTTTAGCAGCCCTCGACCAGCTTTCGAGCCCCTCACTTGGCAGCATGCTTCCTCTCCATTGATCGTCCTCCACTCGGCGGTGGACAAACCTCCCTTTAGTAAACCACCCTTTAGTGAAAACGGCCTGGGACCGAAACCGACGGACATGGACCCGCAAAAGTAATGACGGCCGCGACGCCCTCTCGCGAACCGAAAACGGCCCATTCCTTAATCGACGTGTCAGGATAGGAAGTCTATCCACCTTCGATCCACAAGCCTATCCCCCGAGGATCTCTGGGTCCTCCTCCCTCTCCGCCCCTCCCTCCGGCTCCGCCGCACCCGCCCGCGGCCGGGCGCTCCGAGAGGCGGTCGCGGCCCTCGCTGCAGCCCTCTCCTGCGCTGCCCTCGCGGGCCTCGGCGGCCTCCTCGGCCCCGGCGGCGGTGGACGCCTCCTCGTCCTCGGCTCCGCCCGCGCCCTCGCCCTTCTCTGCCTCGCTCTCCTGGGGAGGGCAGGCGCCAGAGGGGAGGCGGAGCACAGCAGAGACCCGAGATGAGCAGCCGTGCCATCGGATAGATACATACATATACATACATGCGTGTATATATATATATATATATACACAAATATTTATATGTTATATATATATATCCAGGGGCACCTGGTCCTCGGGCTCTGGGGTGTCACGAGATGTCCCTTGGGCGTGGCTTCAGGGAGGGCGATGCCTGGGGGAGAGAGAGAGAGAGAGATAGAGAGAGAGAGAGAAAAAAAAAAAAAAAAAGAGAGAGAGAGAGAGAAAAAAAAAAAAAAAAAAAAAGGGAGGGAAAGGTGCACTTCTCGGGCCCTGCAGGGCCCCCTTTGGGACCCTCAAGAATGGGCCCCTCTGGGGGGCCCAGCCTGAAACGCCCTTGTTCTGCAGCCCCCGCGGCCCCCCTACTTGAAGGGGCCCTGGGACACACAAACGAATACACACAAATAACAGGATTCCCCCTACTTCCCCACATTTTCTGGGCTTCTGCCTTCCCCCCCCCTTCCCCTATTTTTTCATAATTTCGGGGACATCGACGATTCATTGTGTCTGTGTGTGTTGGTTCCCTCCTGACCATTCACCACCCACGCACGCACGCACGCGCACCACCACCCACTACGCACACGCGCGCGGAGCCACAGGTCCGCTACGACACGCGTCCGCGGATAGAGAAAATCTCAGCGCCATGGTAAGGGATGGGAGGGAGGGGTAGGATGTCGGATGTTGACGCGAGCGCACCTAACTTGCCACCCACCCACTCCGCGGCCTCCAAGTCCGAGGGCTTCTGTGGGGTCCCCGGAGGGGGATGATGGGAGCCTCCCCGGGGCGCCGGCCGGCACGCGGGCCCCTCGCTCGGCGTGCCCGCCGTGGGCGGGGTCGGGAGATCGCACCGCGTCGCCGATGCATCGGCGACGCCGGGGTGGCCAAAATCCAGCCCTCCACCATCACCACCACCATCACCATCACCATCACCATCAGCAGCATCATCATCACCATCATCATCAGAATCAGCTTCATGATCATCAGCATCCATCATCCTGCTCATACTCATCCTCATACTCAGACTCATACTCACTCTCATACTCGTACTCATTATCAGCATCAGCATCATCATCATCATCATCATCATCATCATCATCATCATCATCATCATCAGCAGCAGCAGCAGCAGTAGCAGCATTATCAAAGTCCTTACCATCATCACCATCGGCAGCATCATTACCATCATCCTCATCAGCATCGCCATCATCATGTCATCATCGTCTGTAAAACTCATAGCATCATCATCAGCAGCAGCAGCATCCTCATCCTCATCATCATCATCATCATCATCATCATCATCAGCAGCAGCAGCAGCAGCAACATCATCAGAAGCATCATCATCATCATCATCATCACCTTCATCTTCATCATCATCATCATCATCATCATCATCATCATCATCATCATCATCATCATCATCATCATCATCATCATCATCATCATCATCATCATCATCATCATCATTGTCAGCATCCTGGTCGTTGTATGAGTCGTCGTCGTGTTCGTCGCCGTGAGGGTCGTCATCGCCATCATAATCATCATGACCATCATGAACAGCATCGGCGGTCGGCCAAACGGTCCAGGGCGGCCACGCCAGCCCCCTCCGCGGGAGCCGCGTAGGAATGCCTTCCTGGGGACGTTGGAGGACGAGAAAGAGGAGGAGGAGGAGGAAAAAGAGGAGGAGGAGGAGGAGGACGAGGAGGAGGAGGAGGAGGAAGAGGAGGACGAGGAGGAGGAGGAGAAGGAGGAGGAGGAGGAGGAGGAGAAAGAGGAGGACGAGGAGGAGGAGGAGGAGAAGAAGAAGGAGGAGGAGGAGGAGGAGGAGGAGGAGGAGGAGAGGAGCAGCGTCCCCTGAAAGGGGCCTTTCGGCGGGGCCACTCCGACACTCGCGGCCTCCGCTCGAGGGCCCTCGGCCCTCGCCGGGTCGCGCGCCCGGCACCGCGCGCGGACCACCCCAGCGCGCTGTTTTTTTTTTGGGGGGGGGCGCGCGAGGGCCAACAGAACACGCGGCAAAGGCCGCCCGCAGGACCCAGACCCGCGGTTCTCATTTTAAATTTCTTGTTTTTTTGCGCTTATTCAATGTATTTATTGATTCTTTTTTTTAATACTGAGGTGTGAAAAACTGAAACTGCAGAGTTTGAGCAAGCCGCGGAGTGTCGAATTTTACTTCGGCGCATTCCGGAGCAGAGCAAATATATTTCCGTCGGGGCTTCGCAAACGAGGGTTTAGCCAAACGGGGGGCTCAGGCTGTTCCAGGTGCCCCCTGTGTACTGTGCCCCCGTCTGCGGCGCCCAAGGCCTTTCAAAACGGGGGCATGGCCAAATCTGGAAACCGGAGTTCCCCATGCCCCCGCTTGCTGTGCCCCCGTCTCTGGCGCCCTGATTCCGAATGAAACTCGGACCACCGGCATGAAGACCTTGTTCCACGTGATGGAACACCACGATGAAACATCACAAGATGGCCCTGAAACATCACAAGATGGCCCTGAAACATCACAAGATGGCCCCCTGTCTCAGGGCCCTGAAACATCACAAGATGGCCCATACAAGGCCCCGAAGAGCCTCCAAAAGACTCCGAGAGCAGAGATTAGCAACAACACCAGCACCAGCAGCACCAGCGGCAGCAGCACGAGCACCGGCGACATCAGCAGCACCAGCACCTGCAGCAGAAACACCAGCACCAGCAGAACCACCAATAGCAGCACCAACAGCATTACAGCAACGGCGCCAGCACCAACAACACAAACAAACGCAGCACCAGCGTCGATTCTCACAAAAGGGACACAGCCAACAATGATGTATGCCTTGTTCGGGGTCTACATCACCATTTCCTTCATCATGATCATGAGCATCGTCATCATCAGTATCATCATCATCAGCAGCATCATTATCATCATCAGCACCATCATCATCAGCATCAGCATCAGCATCGGCATGCTTATCATCAATATCATCATAATCATCATCATCATCATCATCATCATCATCATCATCATCATCATCATCATCATCATCGTCGTCGTCGACGTCGACGTCGACGTCGACGTCGACGTCGACGTCTGCGTCGTCGTCCTCATCTTCAGCATCATCATCAGCATCAGCATCAGCATCAGCATCATCATGATCGTCATTATCATAATCATCGTCATCGTCTTCGTCATCCATCGTGATCACGACCATGCTCATCATGATCGTCATCGTCATCGTCACCATCATCCAAATAATCATCCTGCACATCGTCGACGTAAGGAGCGTATTCATCAGAACGTGACGTTGACGACGACCCGTCGGACACGTTGCGAAACCTGTGGTTTTAGAATGATGTCGTTTATTGGGCCATCTTGGTTGCCTTCGACAAACGCCATTCGGAGACGTCGTAGGACAGCTACTTCAACATCTCATGTGGTACGGATATCTCAGGCGAGAGCACTCAGGTTCGCAGGTCCCAAAAGTAGGCTTCGATTTGGATATCCCCATTTGGTGAGGATGTCTCGAGGAAAACATTCATTATTTTCAGAAGGTGTTGTACACGATAGCATCCCACGCCCCTACTTTGTGAGGATCTCTCAGGCAAACACTCATTGTACCAATCCGCGAGGAGATCCTGGAGGGGCATCCCCACTGGACAGCCCCCCTTTCATCAAAATTCCCCCTCCAGGCCGGACTGCGACATCCATCGGGCGACTCTTCCAGACCAATCGCGCTGCCCGTCAACCAACTCCATGGCATTATCTGGGGTACAACCCCGTCTGGATGCGAAACACTCTGGTCACCAACGCTTCCAACATCCCCATTATGTGAGGGTGGTTGGAACCAATATATTACCACGCATCCTGGACGACTTCCTTGCTTTGTCTGGGATCGGCGGTCGAGGCAGCAGCCTTTAGATAATCTCCGCAGCGACGACGAAGACGCCGACGACGATACGACTACGACTACGATTAAGACTACGATTGCGACTACAACCACGATTATGATTACGACTACAATCGCGACTACATTCACGATTACAATCACGATCACAATCACGACTACAATCATGACGACAACCACAACCACTGATTCCGACTGCAATCCCAATGAGAAGATGCTCACAAATCCTCTCGCGAGTAGGGTGGCCCACAATGGGTTATTCCCTGAGAGACGATCCCCCCAAACATGATCCAACCCGCCAAACAATAGAGGAAAACTATCCTGGCGAAGGACCAAACCATATGCAGTTGTGAGTCCAGTGATTGTGAATATCGCCTTCGGGTGATATCCTTGGAGTGTGCGCCGACATGGGGCGGGGCCGCCAGGCGGGCGCTGCAACTGGGGCTTTAGGTAGAACCTCCTATGAGGCCATGAAATGTGTGTAGAGTTGGCTGAAATGGGGCGGGGCGGGCGCTGTCACTAGGGCCTTAGGTCGAGCCCACTATGTGGTCACGAAGCGTGGCACGCGGGCCCTGGCGCTGGGACCTGCGGTGGAGCCCCCTCTGGGGCCACGAAATGCTGTACTGGGCGGGGGAAACGCATGCGAGCTCCACCACTGGTACCTTCGGTGAAGCTCCCTATGGGGCCACGAAACGTGCACTGGGTGGGGCAGACGCATGCGAGCTCGACCACCGGGACCTTCGGTGGAGCTCCCTATGGGGCCACGAAACGCTGCACGGGATGGAGGCGACGCATGCGAGCTCCGCCACGGGGACCTTCGGTGGAGCTCTCTATGGGGCGACGAAACGCCCTACTGGGTGGGACGCATGCGAGTTCCTCCATTGGGACCTTCGGTGAAGCTCCCTATGGGGTCACGAAACGCTGTACTGGGCGGGGGGGGCGCATACGAGTTCTGCTACTGGGACCTTCGGCGGAGCTCCCTATGGGGTCACGAAACGCTGTACTGGGTGAGGGGAACGCATGCGAGTTCTGCCACTGGGACCTTCGGTGGCCACGAAA